TATATATATATGTGTGTGTGTGTGTGTGTGTGTGTGTTTGTGTGTGTATGTTCACATATATATTTTATTTTATTGTGCGTGGGTATGTGTATATATATACATATATATTTATATATATTTATTATTTATATATATATATATATATAGATATATATATATATATATATATATATATATGTGTATTATACATATATATGTGTGTGTGTGTGTGTGTGTGTGTATGTTTGTATTCTATATATATTTGTATATATATATTCATATATATGTATATGTATACGTATACGTATACGTATATATGTATGTGTATATGTATATGTAAATGTATATATATATATATGTGTGTGTGTGTGTGTGTGTGTGTGTGTGTGTGTATACATGTATATATTATATATATAAATGTGTGTGTGTGTGTATGTGTATATATATGTGTGTGTGTGTGTTGTGGTGGGGGGGGGGTGGGGCGGGTTGTGTGTAGGTGTGTGGTTGTGTGGCTCTGTATTACGGAAATAGTTTTTAGACTATTCCTACTGCGTACAAATAGATACTAAGATCGGCCGGTCCGTTGGTCCAAGGAACAAAAAATTTAGGACAGGGATCAACGACCTGGATTGGACAGCGAATATGACTTTCCTTTTAATTTGCTCTTTACTAACATATATTCAGGACTCCGATGAATCCAAGGATGAGCATGCCGATATTGCAGACGGAGCCTCAATCGTTGAGTTGGAAGACAAAGTAGAAGGCATGAACCTCGCGGAGTCCGCCAAAGCGGATTCAACAGGAAAAGTGGATACTCCATCAGGCGTTGAGGCAAGCGATGATACAAAATGGAGTGAGGAGGAAATTAAGGTACGTTATCATAAACTACAAACCGAGTTGTTATTCTGCCATGTGCTCAGCACTTCCGCTAAACTTGCGGCTATTGCCATTCACGAACTAGGAAGCGTTTGAGAAGGCCGACAGCCTGAAGGTTGAGGGCAACATTTTTTTCAAGATGAAAGAGTACGACAGTGCTATAAATCTTTATACAGAATGCATCGAATCTTGCCCAGCCGGTATGTTATCTTTTCCTTCAGTATTTTTTTCTTTTTCTTTTGCCATCTTCTCAATTCGCTTACAGCCTTTGCGTGGTATGTAGTCATGGGCTATCGTTCTCATTTACTTGAGCTCTTTCCACTACTTTTGCTTAGGAGACAGTCGAGTTGCGGTGTACTTCTGCAACCGCGCTGCTTGTTATCTTGCCCTTGAAGAGTATAATGATGCTGTAGATGACTGCACGGAAGCTCTTTCTCTTAATAAGGAGTATGTCAAGGCTTTAGTGCGGCGCGCACAGGGATATGAGAAGCAGGACAAGCTGGAAGATGCGCTAGAAGGTATGTTGGTTCTAATACAATGTTAACAGTATGGGGAATGCTTGCCAAAACATGTTTGAGCTGATCTTTCATTTGCATGCTTTAAATGCGAAGATGTAAACATGGATCCTATCGTTTGTGTCCATTACGGGGAACGGCACCAAATTTTGTATCTGTCTTGTCTGTATTCTAATTGGTAGACAACGCATACTTGTATACAGACTTTAAAAAGGCGGTGGAACTTGATCCTACCACGAGGGTTGCGGTTGAAGGTGGCAAGCGTCTATCCCCGCTGGTAACTGAGCGGCAAGAAAAACTCAAGGAAGAGATGATGGGTATGTGCGTAGCTTAGTGCCCACAGCATATTGCCTGCAGCATGGTAGGCCATGCGTAGTATGACTTTGTAGGTATTGGTCCTACCCTGACTACGTAAACTTGACAAATTGTTTTCCTTGATCAGTGTCACAGATGTTGTCAAATTATAGCTGGACATGCTATACATAGCTACTTGATAAGGATATCCATTTGTTTGTTGTTTTCTTTTAGTGTGTTCTACTGAACGCAACCTTTGTTGCTGCACAGCTAGAGCACAAGGTACATAGTCTATGCATATAAATACACTCAGATGGAATTGGTTGTTCTTAGACCTTTCGTGTGTGTCCTTTTTTTTCTTCCACTGAACTCAGTGCAATATTCTCAACACTGCAGGTAAATTAAAAGACTTAGGAAACACTGTGCTGGGCAAATTCGGCATGAGCTTAGATGCCTTCAAGATGGTTCAGGTATTCAACACTACCTCGATGGGTCGTTATTCTCATAGAGTTTGCATTTGTCGATACCGTGTGTGGATGTTGATTTGGAAGGTGTGACGTGGTGTCTCGTGCATGTGCGTGAACCTAAACCCTAAAACTCTACCCTTTTTGTTTTAAAATGCGCCAGCAACCGGATGGATCCTATTCGGTTGGTTATAATCCGTGATGAGGCCTGCATTGAAAAAGAAAAGTGCGCACTGCTATAAAGAGTTGATGCCGACCACTTCCCCAAAGTCCGCACCGCATATGCAGTTGAAAGCCGAGAGATTCCATTGGATTAATACCGCGGATGTCCCAGGAACCAATAGACCCTCGACCGAAGGAAATCCTTTGAGAGGAGACGACGCACGTCCTGTGAACTCTTTCCTAAGAGTACTAGATTTGGTAGATAGCGAGCTACATTCTCATGGGAGTATCTATGATATGCATGTACTCAGTATCAGACGCCGACCTGAACCAATTCTCAAACTTCAACCTGATCCGCCAGTTGTGTTTAGTTGCGAACTTGGTGGAGGAGAAGGCCAATCTTTGATAGATCAGGCTAATTGATCGTAAACCAAACAACGTTAGTGTGTGACAAACACCCTTCAGATATCGCCGGCTGATACCTAACATGTGTGCAGTAGTGGAGTACCATGTCAAATAAAGAGCTCTCTTAGCGTAGCAGTGCAGCCACCGAATCTCACCACATCGATTGCATACCTTGTGTTTTGAACTTCACGACCGAGCTCGCTTCTGCCGGACATATGAAAGCTTTTGCTACCTTAATCATAAACCAAGTTTACGTTTAGTTTTATTTCTTGGTTTACTTTATGTAAATTATCTGCGTGGTCTTCAGCTAAAGTTACCGAAATCCATCTTCAACTTGATCGTCGGCGCTTTGGGCGCCTCCTTCTTGAGACGCCGGGCCTCCTGCTTCTCTGCAAGACGTTTGGTTTTCTCTGTGTACCCTCTAAGGTTGCCCTCCAGCTGTTCGTGCAGGTACTTGGGCAGTGATTCCGCCACTGTCCTGAACTGTTCCGGATGGGACGATCCGAGTAGGAGCACCTTCTTGAGCGCAATCTCGTGCTGAGGTTTTCCCTCGCCCATCATCAGCACAAGCAATGGCACTTGCATGCACAGCAGTTGCACACCTGGCAATGCGTGTGATCAGTGTCAGTTAATTATAGAGCGTCGATGGTAATGAGGTTGCTTTAGTTTAATTGGTGTGTTCAGAACGAGCGCGTGCTTAGCTACAAATTGTCGGTGTTGTGTTCTCGATGGGACCTAGCGGGTGGCGTCCAACACAAAGCAAGATTGCGATTATTTATAAGTATGACACGGCACCTACCGCTGCATACCGACATCGTATGAACTGCATTCAAACTCACTCAACGACAAAGGACAGACAAATTCGTGGCAAGACAGACACGTTTCAGGACATACGTTTAGGCGCCTTCGATATGTTGGCAAGGTGTTCCAATAGTTCCACGATGTCGTTGACCATGTTTATCGAGTCCATATCTGAGAAAGTACAATTGGTTCAAGTCGAGATAGCTATACATTACAAAGTGATTTTAATTTACCGGAGCATAGATCAGTGTCTTCACCGAAAAGAAACTTCCACATCGTATCGCCTAGATAGACGCAGGTATAACGTGCAAAACAAGCGCATCCCGAGGTACACCACCACAACACACCAACCACATTGTTACTATAGAGGTCAAAGAATGGCTGTGTGGTAGTTGTATGGCGCCGAATTGCCCGCAATGGTAAGTCATACCGAGTTCCGTCTGTTTGATGGTATTGAAAGCCAGCATCACAGCAGCTGGGACGATGCCCACTACGAAATGCGATATCTTCTCCAAAGGCAGTGCTTGCAGCATAGTACGCGTGGCCCGGATAACCGCGCATCGCAGCTGCACAAATGCCAAACAGAATATAAGTCCATTGACATTGTGAAGTATATAAATAAAAAGATCAAATCATACACCTGCCCTCAAGACAACCAAATTCGGAGACTGCGAGAACGATACTGAACACTGCATATAAAGATGAACCCGAGTAGTAGCGATGCGTATTACAGTGCATCTGACCGTTTGAGATTGGTAGCGTATTGCTTACCTCTGTGTTGTCCAGGTCCAGCACCGCCAGATAAAGGTCTATGAAGTCGGCCGCGTAGGTGATCTCGCCCCCAAGCAGCGTGAAGATGATGATGGAGGTCAGTACCAAATACTTGATGGTCACCAGCTCATGTGCCGTCAGGTCTGTGGTCTGGGCCTTGCGCACTATCCTGCGGCAGTGCAGGATGATGTCGTGCAAGGTGGCGCTCACAATGGCCCGCCACTCGCCCAGACTGTCCTGGTCCCCGTCCGCAGGCTTCGCCTTGAGAATCACCGTCTTGATGGTGCCCACGACCGTGGTGGCCACAGGATTCGGGGCTAAGCACAGCACCCGCAACGACAGGACCAGTACAATGGGCAACAGCTGCAGGCACACGCTTACGGAGCATGCGGGCGGGATGGAGGCCAGGACGCGGATCACGACCTTGAGGGTTTCGCTGGTTTGCTGCGCACGCTCTTCGTCGTTGGAGCTGTAGCTGCCGGAGGATTTGCCGCCGATGATAGGTTGTTCGGGTTGTTCGTCCAGGAAGCCGCTGCCCTTCAGCGGAGCGACAAAGGTCGGGCTGACGGTCGAGAACGCACTCACGCAGACCTAGAAGGTAGGTAAGGTAGGTCGATAAGGTGTAGATAAGCAAGCACGAATCACGGGACGAACGCGAAGACACGCAGCTAGTGAATAAGTCCACGGGCTATGGAGTGCGGCATTGTTTTGTCGCGTTAACTCACCTCTAGTGCGATGTAGCTGCGGCTGCTGGCCACGTCGCTCTGCACACCACTGCGTAGAATGTTCTCGAGTGAGAGAATACGAGCCACCACCTCGAGCACCTTGACGCGCTCAGCGGCCGTATGGGTGAGCAACACTCCGCGCAGCACCCGCAAGACCTCCACTATGAGATCCATCGGGTTCTGTGGATCGGCAAGCAGGTCCTCTCCGACGGCGTATGCTGCTTTCTCCCAATTGATCTGTGAAGTATGGCATCCAGTAGAGCACGGGAAAGGTGAGTCAAGACAGACGGAAGATGCATACGTGAAGCGCACAATGCTCAAACGAGCATTTGGATAATCTGTGTGATTAAACGATAGTAGTCAGTCCGAGGTTACATACATACCCGGGGATCGAATATATTCAAAAGTGTGTCCAAAGCACAGCTTGTCATTTCTGGCATGGTGGTGGTTGATAGAGCCTGAACTGCCAAGCTGAACACTAGGTATAATTCGTCACTCGGCATCAAATCTTCGGACTCTCCTGTAGTGCGAATACCAAACATGGTGGTCGATTGCAAAGCAATTTGAGTTTCAACTATCGCGAATAGACGTCAAAAAGTTAAAAGTGTATCCCCCACTGACACTAGAGAGGTGAAGGTATGCATGAGCCCAAATCACCCCTACGTACCTTTCGTAAAGAACACTTCGCCGTAATCTGTGGGCATGAGGATAGCAGTCGATGCCAACACTGTAATCCACGCGCTGTTGTACGTCTCTCGCACCGCATCGCGGGTCCATCGTTGCGCCAGGGCTTCCCCAGGGCCCAAGTGCCGCACGTAACTCTCGGGCAGATTCAGAACGGCAAAATCGCGCAGTAGCACCAGCCATTGTTTACAAAGGCTGTGGATTGTATGCGAAACAACGGAACAAATCGATTAAATAACCCACACTATTGAAATTTCTAGCAAACGCGGAGAGACCTGGCCTACTCTCCCTGTAGTATGTTGATTCTGTGCGAGACATGCAAAAAAAAATGGGATATACTAATAGCAAAGTGAAATAAAATGAAATTGAAGAATTTGGCATAGTAGAAAATTTGTCCACAATGAACCAGAAGTCAACTTACACTGAAAGATACGGATCCAGTATTATGCCAAGGTATTTTTGATCTGCAGGTCCATTACAAGCGAGCTGCACCTCGGCCCACGCATGTAAGACTGACACGTGCACCATTATACTCGCCGATTCGTTGAACATGCTGTGAGAAATTAGTGGGCAACCATTCATTTATTGTTAGGACTGCCTTCATACAAGATTAAACGCATATTTTCTCGTTAAACAAGCAATCAGTCGTGGTTGAAGTATGCATTCATGCGATGTTTAGAAGAGAGAAAATCATGGACGCAAGGCTGATCACTCGTAACCTGAAATTATTTCATTGGCAACTCGAATTCATTCACCACAATTTGAATTATTTACATTTCAAATATATGAGCATTTTTCTCTAGGTGTGTAAAGTTGAAAGCATGTTGGCTGCTCAACCGCGGACGATGAGGCACCGCGACTCTTGGGCAGAGAATCTTCTTACTCTGTCCAAACTAAAATTCTTACTCTAATTATAGTGTTATACAAACACATACAGTACTACATTAATCGAGGCATATTGGTCTATGTCGTTGCGACCTGTGTTGAGTGGCGCAGCACACCATCATAAGATTCGGTGCATACCTGTACTTCACCGCATCCGTTTCGTCAGACTCGTCTAAGGGTGACAGGATTAGTTGCTGTATACGTTTCAGGTCTCCTTCATCGCTCGTGGCCCCAGACGACAACCACGACCCGCATACCACACTGGCGGCTGCCGAGATATCCGGGTTCACTGTCCCCGAAAAGGCTGGGCGGAGGGCTGCAGCGATCTATATAACAGTAGAGTAGCAGATTTTGATAAGAATATCATAGTGAGTTTTTATTCTGCCCATTTGGGAGATACTTGAGAAGACCATTCATCACTGAAGGCAGGAAGCTGTTCGTATTAGTGATTGAAGATAAACAAAGGTAAAATTGGTCAAACGCGGTGCCCTCAACACGCATCGTCACATCCAGAACACTGGTCTTGAATGCGCTGCGAAGGTAGGAGATTAGAAATATAATGCAGAGGTGCGTGGCCCATTGGGAGTGCGCAAACTGCAATGAACCCGTCGACTGCGGTGGGAAAGGCGATCGCAAACAAATCAAGCCTGTCACTGTGTTGAATCTCACTAATCGGCTCAACAATATAGTACACACTTGCTGTGATGGCTTGTCGCCGTGCACACTATGAATGCCTTACACTCTCGTAATGAGACTTTACACGGTACTTACCTGCGCTTGATACTGACTGAGCAGCAGAGATTCTTCCACGTCAGGATCCTCCGCTTTTTTGAATAATGTGATAATCTTGCTAAGACACTCGAACCCAGCGATCGATAGCCGAGACGAGTCGCTTGTAGCGGCGTTGAACGCGGCCCGAATCAGAGTACCCAGACAGCTCACCAAGTAGTTCCGTTTGCCCTTGTGACTCTGACTCGTGGAACCAGCCCCCTGTTTCATGTACTGTACTTCTCGCACCAGCTTCAGATCGAAGTGGAATTTCTTGTTTGCACTCTTCTCGCACGCGGTCATCAGCTCGGCCACGCACGTCAGGGCCAGAAACTTGGTGTGTGATCTGGGGTTGTCCGCAGAACTCGCCTCAGCACCCGCTTCCTTCCGTACCAGACCTTCCTCAGTGACCTCGTTCTCATCTTTCTTGCCACTCTCTGCATCTCCGTCTCCGTCATCGTCTGCTCGCGATTCTTCCCCGCCGCTGCCTTTCTCAGCGCCCGCTTTCGTATCGGAACGGTCCTTGGACTCTTCCGATCGCTTCGTCGGTAAAGTCTGAGTTATTTTTTGGCCCAGACGATCCGCTCGGAGGGGCCGCACCAATGTTGCAGAGAGCGCCTTCATGGAATAGTCCAGCCAGTATGTCGGGTTGTAGTCGCCGCAATTCGAGACCAGCTCTATTATACACTTCGCCAATATCCGCAACACGGCGGGATTGGTTTCCCGGTTGTAGATGGACACGAGCGCGTTTTCGATACCCATGCTTTGCCCCACCACCCCGACGCCCACAACTGTCTCTGCGTCTCTCTGGACCATCTGCAACAGACAGTTTGCGGAGCTTTGTCGTAGAATGGACAGATTTCCGAGGAGGGTATCGACAATAAAGGGCAATACCAGGGCAGGCTCAACATGGGCCCCGGCGAATACAATCATTGTCTGTGTACACTGAGCTGCGGTCAGCAGAACTATGTCCTCCTCAGAACTTCTGAGATGGATGCACAGCAGCTCGCATTTCTTACGGGTGCTTTCGTTCATTTGCAGTTCAGGCCCCAAGGAGGAGAGCAGCGCATTGAGTAGTCGACCTAGCCCATGCTGCACTTCCGACGTTCTGGTGAACAGATAATGTACAATCATGGTCAGATCTCTCATTATACTAGCTTTGCTCTGACGATGAAAAAGCTTTGTAACCGAACTTGAAGTGTGTTGGCAATAAATCAGACCCAAAACTCGGAAGAAGAAAAATTCGTTGTAAGTTGTGATGCCAAAGATAAGCTCGATAACACGGACATTGTCAATTTTACGTACCTTTGCTGCGACGAGAAGAACATGCACAGTAGCTGACCCAGTACGGGAGCCACGAAGTGAGGGAACGAAGGGCTTTCACTAACCTGCATGAGAGAAGATAACACTAGTGTGAATTTGAGCGCTTGATGTGATGACAATGCAACACGGCAGTCCGCCGAACACGTCGAAAACGTACGACCAACAAATAAACTCAGTTTGTAAGGCTCACAAAGCAAATCAACAACGGACTTCTTAAATGCTCTAGTAGGTGACAGGTGTCGACATCCATGCCATATACCTGCCAGAAAGCTTGCAGTGCAAACATCTGCACGGTAGGGCTAGTGTCGAGCGACAGCGCATTGAGAATTCCAATCACTCGCTGCACAGACTTCCGCGACACAAGGCGGCCCCCACATCTGACTATACTGCCAAGCGCAGCCAAATTCCCAGTCCTGGCCAGGGCATCTCGATCCGTTTGCAGGAGATCTACGGGTGACAGAAAAGAAACAGGTTGGTTTCTGGGCTGATACGATACGATACTTGTACATGGTAGTATGCACAACATCTAATCAAATCGGCCTAGAGCGTGGTACAACAAGATGAACGACCTTAGCGCCCCATACCTATCACGGAGTCTATTTTGCTTCCCAACTCGGTGACACCCTGGCCCGCCGTCACAAGACCGACGATTTCCGCACCGCATAACCTAGAAAAAAATGGTATATCCAGTTTCAGAATAACAAGTATCAACTATCCTAGTAAGGCAGGTGCACATCAGACTAGCTTATAATAGTGAATAGAATCCGAAAGTGGAAGATACGTCTATATAGTAGAAGGAGGTCAGAAAGTCAGAAGGATGGGAGCGATGCCATCACAAGACCTGTGTACAGTGGAGACGCCAGCTAAGACAACTGTGACAAATCGAAAACAATCGCATCCGTATACCTTGCCACTGGGCTGTCTAGCCTCAAGGCACCCAAAGCAACTACCGATACTGCCTCTTTAACACAACTAACATCCATCTTCGCCAGCTGCCCATTGTCCCGCAGAACCTGCATTGCACATAGCATAGTCGCCAGAGCATTCATGTGTAGTTTCTCAACAAAGCTCCGTCGGCCTGAGTGTGGGCAGTGGCCGATGTGTGAGACGTGTGCACTTCAGAACGACAGCTGGGTGCAGCGGGGAAACGAATGCAAGACCACAACGATATGTGACACGCGCAGAGAAATCCGTTCACTGCTTCACTATCACTTCGTCACGATAGGCCTTAACAAGCGGCTCAAAGGGCAAGAGTCTTCAACGAACATAGTCTTATGCTGCCGACATACATTTCGACAAGCCGGTTGCGAGGTAGTCGAGCAGCTGCCTGCGATGTTTCATGGTGCATAGGGGGAATGCATGGCCAAACAGTAGTATACTGTGGTTCACCAACGACGTAGACAGAGGCAGTGGTGCTGGCGCCTGAGAAGTGCATGAAGGGATTTGTGATTATAAATATAAGGCTACAGCTAAGAATTTCGAATTTCAGAGTGAGAGAGTGAGACTACCAAACATGCCTGCTGACTTGCATGTTCATAGATGGGATTTTCACTATCTCAGCATACATGTGCGTGTCGCTCACCTGTGTCTGAATCTCACCCTTGGCACCCGGTAGTAGAATCACAGTGGTCGGTTCGTTTTCTAGTGTGCCAATGATCCCGTCGTAGGTCAACAACCGCTTGAGTGAACCATCGAGGTCTTCGTGAAAGCCGCCAACGACTGCAGACTCCGGTCCCAGTAGGTCAGGCATGATAGTCGTATACTCGTGAGCCTGTATGTGTACTATGTCCTGTTAAACGAACAAAAAGGTCGAGAAACCCAATATTTGATTAATATATGGGAGAGTTTTTTTCTCAATCATATACCAGAAGAATGCTTCTCCATATCGAAGAGAGCCCTGAGCACATATATGTGGACGACACATTCAGAAATGTGCAGTACATACACCGAACGATAGTAAGTATGCAGTATGTGCAACGAATTTTAATAAATGTGTGTATGCTCCGAAGATATATCGCCTGTGAGTTGACTTTACCTGTATAAGGACTCGCACCAGAGAGGGGAGCGCGGTCGCATAACTATGCGGCTTGAATATTAGTAGAGTTTTGTATAACCGCACTTTGAATAGCCGCACAAGCTCTGCAAAGGACATGCTAAGACCGCTGAGACCAGCACCCGCATTGGTCTCTGTGGGCTGCTCTCGTGATATGGAGCTGATCAACTGGACGCTGTCTACCAAGTAGGTAATCAATCGACTCTCGGTATCTGGATCGCTGGTTAGATCTTCACAGTTCCGACAGAAGTTATTCAGCGCTCCCATGGCGTGTGTTGCCGAGAGGATGCGTTGTTTCGCCTTCTCAGACAGCCTGTGTAGGTACGTCCGATGGGTGTAACAGAAGTTAGCTACGCTGATTGTAGATGTATACTGTCTCAATCAGCCTGTGACAGTAAGTCTAAAGAGTGTACAGAATTTAGCTCCGCTACTCGTAGTTGTCTACTATATACAAATACACCAGGCGGCGTACAGAACGCCGCGGAACTAAGCGATAATATACTTCAGACCTCCCACATCGCGTGATAAACATGTTTTGTAAATACATACGTGTTGGTTGCAGCCGTTGTCTTCTTTGTCTTGGAAGGTTTGGCAACCAGCTCGGGTAAGCCTTTGAACACCTCATCGAACAAGCCCATGAGTTTCCTTTGCCGATCGTGCCAGAAAGAGCTTTTCTGAGTCATCAAGGAACTCAAACATGTCCATCCTGCCTCTATTTCCACGCCACCAGCCTGTCCTGTATGATAAATGTCAGATAATATTAGGTCTCTACGACAAGTAAGGCCATTGTGTGCAAAGTTGTGCACAGCCAATGCATTCTACAGCTGCGACTAGCCAACATCTTTTTGGTTTTGTACCTTTAGCAGATGTTTTCAGCAATTCCTCAGCGGTCGTGAAGATGGACGTCGACAACCCCATAGGTACCCCGAGCCCAGTGCATGGGATAACGGAGGCCATGGCGGCCAGACAGATCGCATAGCCGTGAGTGGCCTCGAGACTCTCTTTGACATACAACTTATCTACACACTCCAGCATCAAGGCTGCATGGTTACGAGGAAGTGCAATCACCAGGCATCGCAGACACCACGCAACGCTTACGCGTACTGATACAGCCCTATGGAGTACGTGTGAGAACGAAGTGTTCGTAACCAAAGGAGACGAGACCTTTTAACTTGATGAATACACAAGCTAAAAGGACCATGTATTGGAAATCTGGCACAGAGCGAAGCAAAAACAGAAGGAGGATCCAATAACCAAACAAGCACAACCTCTGATGCGCCGGAATGCAAGAAGATCTCGCTATGATGTGAGCACCAACATTTACAACAAGTCATCAACGCATGCACCGCATTTCTACGCCAACGAAAAGTAATAAACCAGCCTGTGAGCATTGTGCAGCATTAGTTGGACAATCCAATCTCGCCAATTGAGGGGGCCGAATGCGAATTGAGTTTACACAGAAAGAATCAGATTCAGACGGTCGATACATCTGGGCATAAGCACAGAAACACTCGTCGCATGTGAACATGCACATGAAAGCGAGTAGATACACATATACATCGCCCGCATACTACATGTTCGTAACGATTGCAGCACGATACAAAAGTCAAGTTGCGAGTATATAGACTAAAAATATTAACGCACTAACGTGGTTCATTCCTACAAAATCACGATGGCCAAAACCAACATCTTTCCAGCCAAATGCATACTTGGACGCCACTACTGAGAAAGCGGCAGTACGCACAGCCTCAAAGCAGGGGTGAGAGGCCGAGTCTAACTGAAGCAAAAGACGGCTCACGCAACGCAATGCCGCGACAATGGCGTGTTGTGCTGCGTTGAGATTAGGCAACTGGACACATTGGGTGATTGCTTTGCACAGTTCCTGTTGTGAAGATCAGGAGTGCTCATTAGATATCACGATCGAGAAAAGGAAATATCGACTTCTTGAACAAGATTGATCAGGGCGAGTCAGCACCACATGTGGCAACCAACCCAAGCGCTACGACCACATACATGTACAAGCGACCAGACTACAAACTGCACACCTTCACTGTTTTGACCTGCCCAGCCTCGTCAAGAGTGGTATGCACTGCATCGTAGATCATTTCGGTGACTATGGTTCGTGCTGCCACCGCATCAGCCAGTCGAGCCGGTAGCCGCGAGACACTCAGCAGATTGAGGAAGTGTGCCAGGATCAGGCCACTATTCCCTTCCACCCACTGCGGCCCGACAATGGCTATGATGTGCTTGTATGCATGGAACGCCCCCATCTTAACCTCCGTAGTGGCGCCGCGCGAGAACACCACGCCGAGGGGCAGTAACACCGAATCCTCCTTGGCGGAATCGGGTGCACCTGTCAGTGTGCCAGAGAGAGGTTCAGATTAGCTATACGAATAGTTTGCACGTGTGTTCTGCACTGACAGGTGCCAGAGAGAAGTTCAAATTAGCTATACGAATAGTTTGCACGTGTGTTCTGTCCACCACCTTTCTCAATAACGTCTCAACACATCCAGATATCGCAAACCAATACACGCGGCCCAATTCCCTACTATATAAAACCACAGTACATCCTTATTCGCAGTTACAAGCATATAGGTGGTGCCTATCTACACCTGGATCACATGAAATATACGTAAGGCTGAAAACACTGTACCTGTCTGGACCCGTGACTGTTTCATAAGCAGACATAGATGGGCCATCAGAAGCGCTATTTGATCACGCGTGTCAGCGTCGCTGTGCTCCAGCCCCTTCACAACCAAATGGAAAGTCGCCTCTAGGTCCCCTGGTAGCGTACCGAGACGCTTAATAAGCGCAACCAAACACTGCAGTAGTCATAAGGTTGGGGCTTGTTAGCGAAACTGGGCCAACGATCAACTACGTGCGCCTTAAAAGTTATCTTCCAACATTTGTAGCCGTGCAACGTAAATAACTTTGTGCCACGTAACGACTTGTAGCTGAAACAGTACATTTGCTTTCGGTTGTAAGGAAATATAATGAAGGCCAAATTATGGGCTACTATCCTTTTATCTATTCTAAAGGTTTAGCTATCTCAATTTCTTATACCACAGTATAACTAGTAGATAAGAACTATTATACTTCTTAACCCAAACTTTTTTGTTTCAGACTCGCATCACGCAATAAGGTCGTCGTGACCATATGCTTCTTCTGTGGAATGGGGGATATACAATATGCCGAGCACGTAACAAAAGCATTCTGAAGAAAGCCTCGTACACATAAATTCCAAAATTAGGGCGATGTCTCCATGATGAGTTTCTATAAAAAAAGTGAACAAGGTGTACTAGTCTTCTGTTCGGGTGCTAACAAGTCAGGTAACACTGGAACGAAAACATCACACAGCTCCATGCTTGTCACGTGCAACGTCAACAACTACGGCTTTGTCGATCGACTTAGAACAGAACAATATAAGGGAAAATGATCGGCGGAGAATACAAATGCCACTCTAAATATTAAAAAGAATATGCTTCAACAGTAGGAGAAAAACTTAGTTTGTGCATACCATTGCAGAACTCCCCCGCACGGCTGGCGATCGATCAGATAGGCCGGGACGCACCATCTTATATATTTCTTTCTGAAACTCATTCGCAGCACGTTCACAATGAGTGATAATCAAAGACAGCAACTTGTTCGCTTCATTCCTCAGTGGAAACGGGGGTGGTGCCTGGCCGCCCATTTGATTACCAATCTTCGATGTAAACTGTAAAGGGAATAGAAAGAAATAGACAGTAAACGAATAGCATGCAATGAGCCATCTGAAGAGTCGCGTAGACAGGGGTCATCTAGCATCACAGCACTTGCTAATTTAATTCGAGCATATCCGTTCATACAAAACGTAAATTTGCATGATACACATTTATGTATGTCATACACAAAAAGATACGTACTTGCATTATATATATTTTATATATTTATATATATATATATATATGTGTGTGTGTGTGTGTGTGTGTATAATATATATATATATATATATATATTATATATATATATATATATATATATACATAAAAAATGAAATACATACACTTTTTCATACTATAGCGTTACATATGAAGTTCGTTTATTCAGGTAAGTACATATTTATACATATACATATGCAAGCACAACTAATTTCAACATTTGGCGTCGATAGCAACATACAAAGATTACGAATTGCGTAGAAATATGAACAAATTGACGTCAGCAGTTAAATACGCGTACGAGAGACGATATTTGTTTTCATAAACCAAAAAGTGTATAAACCGAGTTCGTCATGTATGCTAGCTATACTAAAACGCAGCGACTCATAAGTCTTTCAAGATGCAAACACGCAAGCACCGAGATACCAGAATATGATTCTGAACACAGCAATGACCATTACATAATTACAAACTTACATCCGCCGGTTTCATGAACTTTCCCAGTAGATGTATTGTATCCCCGCTTAGAGGCCCAGTCATAGCACCCAGCACTCGGTACATCTCTCCCAAACAAGCGAAAGCCGCTATCCGAGTGGACGAATCGTCCCTCATCTTGATTAGATCATTGACCGTATTCACAGTAGGGAACAGTCGATCGCTGTTTCCATGCCGGAATAGCGTTGCGAGTGTCTTTCCGGCCTCTATCATTACCGGGGTGCCCAACGGCTGTGGTAAAAGCGTCAGAATCTGTGTTTCCAGCTTTTTCTGCTCGTTCTTGAACACCGCCTTCTTCACGTTAGGTATCACTTGCTGGAGCGCAAGTAACTCGCCATATAACCGAATGCTCTGCTCTGCATCGAATTCTCCGCTGGACCTGTCATCAAGCACGAGCGTACGTGCCACAGGCACCGCTGACGACGAGGGTGGCATCGTAAACACAGACGCTATCTATCTGCGACGATGAACGCTATATATTTCATAATTATATATACAAACAAGGAGTTTTTTTTTGCGCGTCTAAGCATCGGCTTTTTCTCCAGCCAAAAGGCCGAGGGGATTTACCATTAAAAAAAAGAAATTAAATACTTAATAGGCATAAATGCAAAAAAAAAATTAACATACCGTATTTGCCTCGAACAAACAGTGAGACAACAAAATAGGTGAATAAATTTCATTGGATTAATGTTTTACTGACAAAACTAACCAATGATGACCGGATAAGCAGTAGCAAAAACTTGGTTTTCTGCACTATGATTAAGAGTCGATTGACTATTCCGGCTCAAGTAGCACCAGAGAGAGGAGTTAAGTCAGTCCATCTCCACTAGAGTGAGCGGTCAACCGGACAACAGCTCGTTAACTTAACTCTTTAATATATCAGCAAAATAGACCAATTGTCTTTTCTGTTTATTCTTTTTTAAATATTAACGACATATATACTTGTTTACTGAAAGTAAATTGTCAAATTGTTTTGCATAAAAGAAGTACTACATATTTTTTTTTAGCTTTAAAAAGTATGAATATACTGATAAATAGATGAAGATAATAGAGAGACAGGGATTATGCCTAATTTCAAATGTCATGGATCTAGAGATTACTTTTAACACTAAAAGTTAAATGCACAATTCTATGGTTCTAACAGTAAAGAGACAAAAATAACAATAATTTTCTTTATAAAATATTGTCGAAAGAAAAGTTGAAACCAACTTTTGTTGAAGTTGGAACCAACTTTTGTTGTCAACATTTGTTGTACTCTCTGGATTGAGATTTGAGAGGAGGAAAAACATAAAAGAGTTGCGTTATATCACATATATTTATATATAGAGAATGAATACTATATAATAGATACAATAAACTGAATATGGGATTTCGACAAAGTACAATACACTTATGTATATCGGTATGAACGTATGAGGTATTTAATATAGCTATCAATCGTATGCGTCCAAACGACAAATAATAACATGGAGGAAGATGATCTGCGCTTAGCGCGTGATTTCTCCCCCTTGACTACCACATTCGACTCCGCACTACAATTAAAGGATACTCAAGAACAGACCACTAACGACTCTAGGGGAAAATATGATCGCTCGAACGTGGGGCCACGGAATTCAGAAACTACAAGTACAAGGAGTGGCTTCACAAGTAACAGATGTGGAGGTCGCACTAAAGCTTGCAGTTCGGATACCATTCTGGAACATGTAACCACCGGCGACAGCCAAGTATATAGCAGTGATCTGCCCCTGTTCAGTGAGAACATTCCAGCAGCAGACGCTGTTGAGAAGCGCCCAGCACGTCACTTATCAATTGAGACTCTGTCTTCTACATTGAGCGGCGGCTCTTTAGATCCGCCTGAGGGGGCTGCCGATTTCAAGTATGTTGGTTACTTTCATTTCCCTGTTTATTGTTCAATGCGAGGTACTTGGAGGTGGCCGTATCCCTTCTCCATCAAACTGTGCGCAGCCAACTTTTGCCACTCATTTATATAGTATTTTGTTTTGTACCAATTACGTGCTCACCAAACCTGAGGATGAAGACGAGCCCGGGAATATATATCCTCGTTCTAATGCTCACTTGCAGCAGAGTCGGGATGATTGGTATATATTTTTGTCAATTTGTACTCGACCCATGTTTGCCACTTCCAATCCGTTTATGAAATTATGTTCCCAACTAAAATAAAAGCGCAAAAGTTCTTAGCTATCCAACTATACGTAATATCATGTTTTAGACCGTTGTTTTAGAACAGGAACAAACATGGCCTGTGCCTTGCATCACTGACTCTGGCGCTGTCGTTCAGAGGATATGCATTGCAGTCCTTGTCAACTTTATCAGTCCTTGTCAACTTTGCCATATAGATCACGGCAAAAATATACTTCTCTGCTGTCTACTATAGCTAGCATACATTCCCCTCATTGTCGTGTAAAAAAAAGTGCTTTTGTCCTTCGTGTGCGCGACTTATTAGAGACCAACTGCTTTTACGTCAATTCTCTGTGGCGCTAAAGAGATTTCAATTATCACACAGCATCTCACCGCAGCTCCGAAAGTACGCTATCGGTAGCGAAGACCTCGCCAACCTCTTACGAACAGCACGATCGGAAGAAACAGCTGTGCTGGACTGTCGGTCGTTCGTGGCTTACAATTCCGGCCACATCAGGAATGCTGTAAATATGAATTGCCCTACGCTGGTTTTGAAACGGCTGCAGGCGAGAATTCGAAAAGAAGAAGCGGAGAAATACGGGAATGATCACAATATAGCTAGTGTGGGACCAAAATGCCTCGCAGATAAGGCCTTCGTCGTTGACAAGTTGTTATCTTCGCCTCAGGTCAGTTTAATCCTGATTACTGCGTAGAATGAATATCTCGTCGGTGTTTGGCATGTGCCCTAACCTACTCGAAGACTCACGCATGTTCGGTCACTGATTCAATCACTGCAGGAGAACCACGTCGAACTCAAAGAAAGGTGTAAATTAGGGCTTATACGGAATATGATCCTGTGCGGCGATGAAGCACTTTCGAAGGTCGCCGCAGGCGAGGCATCTTGTTTGTTGGAGCGCCTCCTCGATATTTTAAAGAATCAGCAAACTGTATTATATTATTTGAAAGGTATAGTAATAATTGTGCTAGAAGTAATTTATACTGATCAAAGCGGGATAGTCGGTATCTCGGATATTTATTGAATGATGCTTTTTTCTCCTAAATCACCCCCTTCCACAGAACCATACATTCAATTTGCCAAGCGGTACGCAGACTTGGTTGTAACGATCCAATCAGTGGACAAAGAGAAGGTTCATAAAACGCCGCCACCTTCCGCCTTACTAGCCAGTAAAAATGTATGTATATTTGGGTGCTTCGATCGAGTTGCTCCAAATCGTGCTACTTTTTTTAATCTTACGATTTATCTTTTGCTTACCGTACGACAACTTTCTCTTAGATGGAAATGGAACCGACAAGAGTTCTTTCTTATCTCTATCTTGGAAACAAGCGGAATTCTGCAGACATGGAGTCACTCAAAGGTTAGTGCTTGGAGATTTTGACTGTGAAATCTCGTAGACTACTGTGACAAAGCTAAGCACCAAGCACTATAGCTAGCGAGGATTAGGATATCACATACCGTTAGTTCGCATACATGCGGTGGTTTCTTTTCTCGTGGGCACATGCAAAGACTTGTGAGACTTGCCAGTCGAAATAGACGACTTTTACCCATTGTGCTTTTGCCTATGAACTTCTCACTTGTCGCGATACTTAACCGCTTCGTATTTCTACTCCCTGAAAATCTTAACGGCTACTGGCTTGCATTTCTTCTCCTGATTCAGCTTTGGGCATCACACATATACTGAACGTTGCCAAAGAGTGTATACCGCAGAGTGACAATAATCAAGACATGCGATATAAGGTAAAGTCATTTGGCATGCTTCGCTTTATAGAAACATACTCGACATTGGTGTCTTCCGTTGATAATTCTTCCACGAGCTTTCTATTTCGCCGAATCTAAGTCGAGATACACTTGTTATTCACGTGAAATCCACTCCGTATGCTCCAACTGTTGTGTTTTCCTGCCCAACAGAACATCCCACTGCTCGATTCGACTGAAGAGGATATCTTATCCGTGCTGGAGGAATCGATTCTGTTCATCGGTATGTTACTGAAATGAGCAAGATGTGTATATCTATGAGGGCGGAATCTGTACTAGCGCATACATTCTAATTGATCTATGTGGCTCGCTGCACCTGCCATTTGCTATCCTTGTATTACGTGCTGGATGTGATTGTCGCACACGATTTACCAATATAAACTCAATGCGGATTGCAGACACTGCGAAGGATTCGAATGGGAAAATTCTGGTGCACTGCGTTGGAGGCATCTCTCGATCCGTGGCGGTCATCCTGGCCTATCTTGTACGGACAAACGAAGTGACTCTGGATTCAGCATATGCTTTCATGAAGGAAAGGAAATCGAATATATCACCGAATATTAGCTTTATGGGACAACTTTTAGAGTTTTCGAAAAATGAAGAACAGAAGCGGGAGTCGAAGAAAAGTATCAAATCGAGAGCTCGACAAAATACATTGTCACGGACCAAAACTGTAGGTTAGCACCGAACTCATTGGATGAGAATAAGTGATTAACTTGGAAAGGTCGAGTACATGAAATAATAATAATGTCCATCGCTTAAATTACAAAAGTCTGCAAACAAGGAGTTGCAACTCTAGATTTATTCGTGATAGCTTTCTAACTTTTCCGATACTTGACATAGTAACCTTACTTAACGGTGCCTCGCTTCCTATTAGAATCGTACCATGCGCTGTATTCGCTGTAGGAGAACCTGCTTCATGCGAGAGCTGTGTTCTATAAATAATACACTCCATCCGTGAGTCTCCTGAGTCAGATGTGTCATATTCGACTAGTGTGCTTTGGACATATTCTCATTATATGACTAGATCAGGCGATATCCTAGTGAGTGTTGCACTTGTTGCGACCTGTGATTTTAAGAAATCTCTACAACGATGAAGCACTTTCAAACGAGCACTCAAACACACAGGAATCTATCAACCCTCCGCCTATACAGCTCTGCCGGTGGTTGTCGCAGCTGCAGCAATGCAGACGTCAGCATGCGAGCGAACTAAACACACGTTGTAAGCTGTTATTATGCTGAATCTATCCAATCCTGCTGTGCCGTGTGAACTCACCTCAAGCACGTGAGACTGCACTTCTCCTATCACATTCGCTACAATTAGTGATACATCGGATACTACTCGAGTCATTTCCAAGCTGCACGTAAACAAATCGATTTGACTCAATTTCAGATCGGTAATTGGTGTTGAAGATTTTGCGCCACCGGATGCGCGAGCCCTATGTATGAGTTAGGCAAGGAAGAATACCGTACAACACTTTGCAGTGCGATTAATGTTTCCAATCGGGTGAGCATGGCTTGCCTCTCCATCGTCAATCTCTCTTTCGATTCGCATAGCTCTTTGTTCCTCGCAGTCAATGCGCGGATATAATTAGCGGCTCCGTTCAAGATCAAGACTTTGGGGGACTTATCGTTCGTCACTAGATCCGGGACCGCTTCTCGTAGAGTATCAAAAGATTGACGAAGGTCCTCGCGCCTTTTTCTCTCCAAAACGTTGTGCACGTGACGTTTGGCTTCCGCTTCGTTTAAGTTGGACGGAACAGAAATGTCCGAAATATCAACTTCGCCTGTGCTAGAAGTGCTCGTCACACGCACTTTGTGAACTACCACGCCGCCAATTTCTTCGGTTAGGGACGTGCTGGTCGTAGTTGTGCTTCCAGTTCCTTTAAAGGCAGTGCGCAAGGCATTGGGCAATACGGCAGCCGAGCCAGCAGTCGTGGGTGTACTTTTTCCAGCAGCTGAAGATACTTTTGAAGTTTTCCTCACAAGTTTGGGCGCTGATAATTCTGTTGGTGCCACACACGATGGTAGACATGAACCTTCCAGTGAACCTGTACTGAGTGGTTCTGTTTTCACTCGTTTTGCAGGTGTCGGTGATGAGGTACCTGACGGTGGTGGTGTATTATCGTTGCTACGCACCCGTTTCGTGACGGTTGCAGGTTTATTGAAATCGGTTGAGGGCTTGCCGTCTTCGAGCGCACGCTCGGAAAACAAACTCGAGCCATGCGCCACGAGATCAACACCACCATGACCATTACCGAGCTCCTCAAAATGAGATGACTTCATATCAGGCAACGCCGTTCCGCATTCGGTTAGATCAAATAATTTAAAAGGCGCGATACCTTCCTCGTACAACAATACGCTATTCCGCGTCGCCGAGCGGCTTAGCAGGGGTGACGCGGGTGTTGAAGGCGCGGGTGTCGGTAAAATGGCCGACGGATTGAACAGCTGCGCTGTTTCGCATCCAGTGATTGCCATCTAGTATAATATTAAAATATAATATCCGATCAGACTCAAAAATAACTCGACTAGAATATGCGTGCTAGCAACTCGTATAGACTGGAAAATAGAAATTTATGCATTGCTAAAACTCGCATAAACTTTTAAAAATATAACTTTAAAATATGCAAGCTATACTCGCATAAACTTGTACATATTCTGCATCTTAATAAAATATATATATATATATATTGAACTGTGTATACGTTTACATAAAGAAATATACCATCATATCTGATACACGCCTAGAAATCGTAGCCAAATATGTTTTACAACATACCTTCATCGATTCCGTTGCAGTATCAGCAGACAATAGATCGTGGTAACCAGATGCGGACAAACTCAACATATCCTGGTGTGAAGGCGGCGTAGGAATATCGAAGCGAACCTCGCACTCATCGAAAGATGAATGTAGAAGCTCTGTGAAGTCCGAGTCCAGACTCAGCCACGGTTGGTGTGTGTGATGTAGAGGCTGCTGAGAACCCATATCGATTTCCATGGCTGAAGACTGATAGATAAAAATTTCTGAAGTGGGCGATCCCATCATCGAGTCTACGGAAGATGACGATGTTGATAGTATCTTGGAGAAAGCCATTGTGTTTGCGCTATCCGTACTGCTGATGCTACCATTCCTATCGCTGGTGACATCGACACCAAATACACTCCTTGGTGATGAACTCTCTTCTCCACTACCTATATCTGGTTGGCTGAGATCAAGATCTTCTAATTCTGTTCGGCACCTAGAATCTATAGTCGAGGCCAATACTGTAGAGCTTCTTGGCGAACCCATATCATCTTTTACGACTAGGTCGGAAATCGCGCTACTATCCATGAACGACATGAGATGCTGCTGCGACAGGCAGGAAAACGAAGATGAGTTCAGCATCTTTGATGTGTTGATATTGTACACTTGACCTGGCCTTACAGATGACACAGTAAAGGAAGTAAGCACTAGCAAATAGGGCTATATGCTACCTTCTTTCTACTTCTGCTAAGCAATCCAACCTTGTAGTGTCGCTCGCAACCGAATTGCATAAACCGAATGGTATTTTATTTTCCTTTGTTATTTTATTGTCCCATGTGTCGTTCGCTTGAGCAAAAAAATGCATAAAACACGACAATATGGTCCGCCTTTATTATTCCAGAACCCTCTGGTATTTGAAATACCGAACATCATGATTCATGCGTATGTTTTACAGTACCGGTACTTTATACTTTTTTTCGTATTCTTAGGAGGGGGGTTCAAAACTTCAAAACTTCAAATACTCGCGGAGATTTTATTTACCAGTGCCCTTAATATAGGTTGTTTGCACCGTTGCATAAGTCTCATTTTATTGGTAACATAAATTTATATAACATATTCTATTGGGCGTTTTGTGCTCATTTGATGATATAGAATTATAGATCAATAAAATAGTTAATAATGTAGAAGTTAGATATAGATATGAGCCTGGATATTCCATGATGTCTACGATATTGGGACTTGAATGTGTTACTATTTTTATTTGTTTATATATTTTTTTAAATGAAATACGTTCAAAACTGAATCGCTCATAAAAGTTCAAAAATCGTGACTTCGTATTTTTTTATTTTAGGCTGCTTTTGCCAACTTTATTCAAATTTTCAAAACAAATTGTACGATGGAGTAAAACACCTTACTCCGGTAACTAAATGCTGAATTGCATATCCTCGTGCTGAAAATTTGTTGAGATTTTGAAATTTTAGAAATTGTCAACACAATTCTCATTCCAAAATTTCTTCAATTTGTCACGTTTACCAACTCCAAATTTTGATATGTGACCTCTTGGAAATTGTCCTCAAAATTCGATTTTCCACAATATCCACAATAAAATGAAAACGAAGCTCAGACAACGTTTTCACTTCGGGCGAAGAAATTGTCCGTCTCTTTCACGAGAGTTACTGGCTTTTCGGGCGCGCAGTCCAGAAACACAAACGATATCATTAAAAAAAAACAATGAGAACAAATGTGTGTACTTCTATCTATGGTGTATACGTTCTATTTGTGCAAACATACACTTCATGTGTCAGTATGAGGGTTGCAAAGGAACCTGTGGGGAGTGTCTTACATTGATACAAAAGAAACGACTCACACAATTACTGACTATCAGCAACATGATGAGTTTCTAGGGACTATTAACGTTACCTAGTTGATCCTCCGATCAGCCAACCAGATTTGCCAGTCTGATGAAGGCTAAGTCGGTAATTCTTGATAGTGGCAAGTTATTGGTTAAGACAATAACTAAGGACATCAAGAGTAATTATTATTTTTTCTAAAGATAGGATTTTATGAGTCTCTCGGATTCGCCCCAGTGAAACATACCATAGTTTCTAATAGAGCGACAACGAAACACTAAATAAAATCCCTTCGGCGGAAACAATACTGAGATTATATATAGGCAATGTCTCAGCCTCACAATCCCTCAGAGTATTACTGTTTTCACGAGACATACCTAACTTTACTAAATGTCTTATTTCGTTTATTTACTTTGATATTTTCACGATCCTTAGAATTTACCTACGCGTTTATTTATTTTAAGGCGTTAATATCGCATTGAGAGACCGAATCTTACATTGGGAGGCTGTAATATGCGTACGCGACCTCAAACGATGCATAGTAGAAAGGAATAACTTTTACAGCCCTTGTATTTTAGAAATACGGCCTCCGGTCAGTCTAAAATATCAAGATCAAATGAGATAACACATTGGTTTTTATTTGTATGTATTTAATATATTTTAATATAAGTTCTTTTTCCAATAATTCCAAAGTGTTCTAAATTTACTTTGAAGGCTCCAATAGCCTGAGTATTTGGTATGACTCATTTACTTGGACCTATTTGAGAACACGGCGCAGACCTGATCCGTACCACAGAGGTGGGTACTCTACTTAGTAGGTCAGCAAGCGAATATATGGAACATTCGATAGTAACAGTGTTTTATCAACACCGGCCCGAATTGACTCAGCATATATCTTCCATTGTCGACTCACTTGGCCCAAGCTTCAAACGGGAATTTACTCTGACCACTTCTTCCCATCAATCTTTCCTGAACCACTACAGCGACTATGAGAGCCATACCATATGTTCATGCATTGTATCATACATACTCCAAATACACTGTTTTTTTTGCCATATTTACCATAAAAATTCACCAATCCTCAAATCGCCTTCTTTTTTCACCAATTCCAAAAGTACCTTCTTTTTTCTCCGATTTTTTTTTTTAGGGTTTTAAGCCCTTAATCCCTAAGCCCCTAAGGTTATCGTTTTGGTGAAAAAAGAACTTGTATTAAATTATTAGAACTTTGTGAACATCGGAAAGGGAACTTGTACAAAATCATTTTATTGTCGCGTAAAGTCTCGAGGTACTAGCTGACGACGTGTCCTGATGTTTCGCGAAAACGGCACTCGTACAGTCGAAGACGGTATACGTCGTGTACTCACACGGTAGAACGGAGCCACATAGTACCGGCGATCTGAACCTCTTTGCTGTATTAAAACCAATTTCCACACCACACCCGCGCCCAGGCTGCGTCTGGGTAGCACCTCTACAAGCACGTTTTCGCTGAGAACAGAGTTCATCATCATGGACCTCTCTTCGCCAGTCATGTCAGCAACCGAGAGACTGGTCCACTGTGCAGGTGGTGCATCATCATCACTGTCAACGTCAATAATTGCTGGTCTAACTGCAGATGTCGTCATGGGGTCGTCATAGTCTTCGCTGTCCACGTCACTATCCACGTCACTATCCAGCATGCGATCCAGCTCTGTGGCTTCAACACGTCGCATGGTGTCCTTAGCCCTTTTCTCGGCATCTTGGCGCTCGACGACAAGATGATGGGCTGCATGCAGAGACAGTCTCACGTACTTTTCCGTATCCGGCAGATACACCACTACCACGTCATCATCACACACAGAGCGGATAGTGGCAGACGCCTTGCCGATAAGCACGTGCTCACCTAAAAGAGATCCATGGGGCTTGGCCAGTGTACACTTGTACGTGGCACCGTGGAGCAGCGACTCGTAGTCGGCGGCCAGCGTGATGGTCGGCAGCTGGGTGATCTTGGCCTGGCACAGGTGGCCTTTGAGGGCAATAATGTTAAGGTCAAGCTTGCAATCCGTGCATGTCCGGCGGCAAGTTTCAAGCATCTCATACATACCCCGATTCTTAGACATGATGTAGGTGGTGTTGCGGCACTGGCAACACGGGTTGCCTTTGGTCTTGGTCACACAGGCAGTACACAGCGTTGCGCTACAGCAGGACGCCTGCTTGACACCCAAAGTCACAGCGGTGCAGATGACACAGGTAAAATTCGATTCCAGGATGGCCTCCATGTTGCTTGTTGGTTGTTGTTGCTGGTTGTTGTTGTTGTTGTTGTTGTTGGCTGTTGGGGAGATTGTGAATGAGAGTGTACACTGTTTGTGCGTTTTATACCCCAACTAGTCTCAGACTCCACCCCCAAGATGGGGGTACCAATGGTCCAGCGCCGATCCATGGGGGTTCAAGCCAGCCTGCAGTGGTGCACGCGCCAACTCTTGTACACATTAATAAAAAACTGGGAATCAAAAAGAATCGATAGATCGCGGTTCAGTCAGTGATCGGGGAGGTATCAGCGTCGTTTTCGGCTTTGCAGTCAGAGATCGGGGAGGTTTCAGCGTCGTTTTCGGTTTTGCAGTCAGTGATCCCCGCCCCGGTCACATGGGCCTTTTGGTGCCTGCAGTGCACACTGTACTCGTATATGATGGACTAAGATACAAGGAAATGCAACCCGTCACGTATCGGCAAAAGGGGGCTGCTCTGCTCGCGCGTCTGGCGCAACTAGGGTCTGACGCGCGCGTAAGGAGCGTCTCTGACCTCAACGCGTTGCTCCGAAAATGCCCACTGCCAAATTTCGACCCCAACAACAGCTACTTTTCGCACCTAGTCGCGCAGTGCTCCACGTTCGTGTCCTGGGTGTACAGGCTCGACGTGTTCGTATCAGGCTGGCACTCTGCCACCGGCCACGTGCTACAAGGGAAATACATGTACAGGGGGTCGCCTGTTGAGGTTCTCGACAAGCAGCACTATGTATCCACCGGCAACACGCCGGGTGCTGGCACACACATAGGCGCCTTTGCCCTGGTGGAGCCCGGCTTTGTGTCATGCACGGGTAGCAGGGAAGCGGCCGCCCGGTCCGGGGGCTGTATTCTGCGATTCGAAATACCACAGCGTGTGTCCTACTACTACGACGACGGAGACTGTCTTTTAGAGCGCAATCTGATATTCATTGATTTTGCATTCCACGGCTGGCACGAAGCCGCCGGACGTCGGATCGCAGTGGTTGATTGCGAGCTTGTGCCACACCGGGGCTATGACCCCGAACGCTTTTTTATTTCGTAACTAACGCTGCGTGAGGATTTTTTTTTTTTCTTTTCTTAATGAAACAGAATGCAAAACAAAAACTGGGGCTTGATTATTTTGTCCTGTGTGGTCTGTGCCGTCCTAATCTATCTCTGGAGACGTTCACGACAGGATGTACCAAGCGTAGTGGTAGACAGAGAGAGTGCGACGGGTACAACCAGGGCGGGTAAGTCGTGCACATGCGACAATAAAACATCGACCACCACCGGAGGATCAACGGGTACGTCTACTGGGACGTCAACTGGTACGGGAGCGTCAGTCGCGGGCCTCAGTGCCTCCACTAGCATGTACATGCTCGCGTGGTCCAATACCGGCGACGGCGACAAAACTACGATGCCGTCGGATGGCACGGGGGCCATTGTCATGCTTGACGGGGACGACAGTGCAAGCACTGTGCGAAAATACAAAGACCAAGGGTACCTGGTCGCGGGGTACATTTCCGCCGGCAGCTGGGAAGACTGGCGCGACGACAAGTCAGAGTTCCCCGACGAGGTGTTCGGCAAGCCGTACCCGAACTGGCCCGACGAGACGCTCTTCAAGTTTGACAACTGGCCGCTGCTAATCCCCGGCATGACGAAGCGTATGCAGAAGCTCAAGGAGAAGGGGTTCGAATACGTAGAGTTTGACAACATTGAAAACTCGGACGAGAGCGACGACGACCAGGTCGACTATACAAGGCGACTGGGCGAGGTGGCCCTTGAGATCGGTCTGGGGCCGTTGTTCAAGAACGCCGCCGATCTGATTCGGCATGATAAAACGGTGCAAGACAATTTCGTCGGGTTTATTTGTGAGGAATCCATCCAGTGGGGTGACACAGAGGTGTTCCACGAGGTCGCCGCGGGGCAGAAGCCCATTTGGATCTTTGAGTACGACGACGTGTCCTCGTCCGATCTGGAGAAGGCCAAGTCGCACGCGACCGAAATCTGGTTGGACACAAACAACGGGTGGGAAAAACTCGCATAGCGACAAATTCTACCAAAACGTTTATTTATTTATGAATTGTCTTTATATACATCTATCTATACAAGTTTTTGTTATCTATACAGCTAACGTGACAAATTCTCTTCTCAACAGATCGAGAAGTAGTCGTTCAGAGTCCGCACTGGTTCAAACACTATTTTCTGGCGATACTCGATGGACTTGAGACGTCTTTTGCTTATCGGGATACTCATGTCGCCTAGATCATACAAGCGCCCAGTCGCAAGATCGTCCGTTACACTGTCATCAAATCCCGTAACCGGTTCGGGGGTTGACTCTAACGATGGTGGCACTAGTATCACGATATCAGTATCTTCGCTTGCACAAAAAACACTTGTTTGGTGATCGGCTAGTGTCATGACTTCAACCCCGTCTTGTGTGCCTAATTGGCTGGCGCGCACAATCTTTCCCGACTTTGTGACGTTAAAATTGAGAAACACACAGTATAGAACAGAAGTGTCCAAGGTTAGCGTATTGAGCCATAGGACTGTGGCGTGCAGCATACGTAGGCGCTCGCCCAAAGTTTTAGTCCGCATCTCATTGCAGTAATCTGGATTGAAGCGTATAAAAACGGAGGCTTGGTCTTGGTCTTGGGGAGTGGCGGATCCAACAGCGCGTGTGCGATATAGCCAGTCTTCGTCGTGTTCAGACCCGTGTTGAAACTCATCGGTCTCGAGAATAATTGTATGTGCCATTGTATACTCGGAGTCCACTCGAAAGTCGCCATATTCGACCTCCCAGCGAAACACACACTGTTGATTTAGTAGGGTAAAGATGCGGTTCAGACCCTGATTTACAGTCGTTTGCTTCAGCCTGTATCGAAATGTCGGCAAGTGTACTGAGCAGAGCGATTCTTTTGGGGCTGGACGCCCGCAAGGGCAGTGTCCATCGGGGTGAAACTGCCGCACATGTGTGTCGAGAGTCTCTTGACTAACACAAGCGGCATCGCAGCTGGGGCAGGTGTATGCAAGCTCGTGGTAGTGTCTATGGCGACCAAGGGCGTCCTTATCCTTAAACGCGGCAGTACAAATACCATCGTCTAAAACCCAGCCGCACGTGAATGGACGATAGTCTGTATGCATGTACATGTGTCGTGTAAGTTTTGACGACGTTGTAAACACTCGGCCACACGGATCCACGTCTGTACTCCCCGTGGGGACCCACATGCAAAACTTGAGACCGTCGCCAGTGTGTAGGCGCATGTGTGCGGTTAGGCTATCCTTGCGACCATATGTCGCCATGCACGGGCCATCCTTTGAAACATAATTGCACGCATGGGGTCTATCGCTGGTGTGTACACACATGTGCTTTTTAAGACCACCTGGCTGGTTGAACGACAACCCACACGGTTCGGCATCCGGATCGTCCGGGGGAGTCCATGTACATATGAACGATCTATTGTTTTCATGCACACTTTGTCTATGCGAAGATAAGTTGTTGTTCGTTTTAAACGAGACTCTACACGTTTCACATATAAAGGGTCTGTCGGTTCCGTGAACACTCTGCATATGCTTTTCTAGGTGACCGGATTGACGGAACGCAGTTTTACAGACATCACATACATAGGGTCTTTCGCCAGTATGAGTGCGTAAGTGTACACTTAGTGCACTCGATGTACCAAACACAGAGGTGCATGTGTCATGTGTACACTTGTAGTTCCTAACCTGAGTATGTACGAGCTCATGTGACTTGAGTGCGTCTAATCGCGAGAAACTGACCGAACAGCCTACCCACTTGCAACCGTATGGTTTCTCGCCAGTGTGGCCACGAATGTGCCGTCGCAGCGCAACATTATTGAGCCAAGTGTGTGTCTTGTCACACTCGCGCCAGATGCACACCTTTGCCAGTTTGTGGGTAGTGTTGACGTGTGCAACTAGGTCTGCACTGCTATCAAAGTGCTCTGTGCACTCACCCCATGCACAATCTAGTACTGGAGGTTTGACGCGTACTGGCATGGTTGACAATGGTGTATAAACGAATTTGAAATTCTCGAATTACAATGTGAACTTGTGATATGTTTCACAATAGTGTAGAAATGAATTAATAATTTTCAAACTACACATTATTATACAACGATAAAAATACTGGACGCGTCTTCGTTTTAAAAGATAACAGCGTGCATGTGATATTAAGTTGTTCGGGAACAAATTAATATCCAATAGAATCCGGTCACGTGAACAATGTTTTTATTGATAATAACAGTACTAAATCATGTCTGGGACAGTAGCGATAGAGGCAGGCTACCAGTTATCACTGTTAAGGGTTTCGACGTTTTACGTAAAACGAAACATCATGTTTAAGGATGACCTGCAAGTACTCTTGGACGCCCCACACAGCAACGATACGTGTGCACCACACGGCTCAGTGTATGAGATCATCACCGACTGGATCGAACACGAAATGTGCGACCCCAGCTGGTTCGAGACGGCATTGCATGCGCACTTTTACTCAAGGGACAAGTCGTGCCAACAATTGTTGCTGGACAACAAGAACATATACCACCATCTCGGGTGCGCTGTCGGAACGCCCTCCGACCCTGTGAACTTGCGCGCGTTCCTGGTGCTTTCAGTTCCGTACGTAGACCACGTGCGCGGTAAGCTGTTTGACGAGATTCTGCGATACTACGAGCAGCAGTTTGAATCTGCGGGCAGCATACTGGACCGAGTACGGGATATAGTGGGGCAGCCGAATACGGATCAGTACGGGAGACTTGACCGGTAGGCTCCACTGGTACCGCGTGTGGGCGGCTAAGAGGATTGAGAAGACCTTGCTAGAATTGCTCTGCCGCGTGCGCGGCATGAAAGAGCATTATCATGAACTCAATGTGGTTAGGTGTGAGATTCAACTACTCTACTACTTTATCCACTACCACGAATGTCAGTTGGGGCTGGCGATCCCAATCCCCAGTGTCGACGAGGGATGCTTCCACATCTTTACAGATGAAGTCGCGAGCGACGGTCGGGAGCCGGAGACAAGTCTCCAAGAGGCACCATAGTACAACGTACAAAGTTCAAAGGTCAAAGTTCAAAGGTCAAAGTTCAAAGGTCAAAGTTCAAAGTTCAAAGGTCAAAGTTCAAAGGTCAAAGTTCAAAGTTCAAAGTTCAAAGTTCAAAGGTCAAAGTGCAAAACCTGTTCATTTTTATTAATAGTCGAAAATCTGTACAAAATCCTCAGTTCGGGCGTTTTCATTCCCACAGAGCTTCAGTGCTTTTTTGAGATCGTAGACTCCGTATACAAACCCCGTTGTGTGTATCCACTCTATTAGCGATGAAATAAAGCGGTACGCGTCGCTCAAGTGTTTGGTTTCCGACTGCGAATACGTACTCTCTCCGAAATCGCCAATCACCGCCAAATTTCGTCCGCCGCGATTAATCACAAAAATGTTGGCGGCGTGTAAGTCGCCGTGGTACACACTACATTTTGACATTTCCTCGATAGAGTAAAAAACGTCAATAATGAGCACACGCAGTTCATCGTACTCAATCGAACCCTGTCGCAGAACCTGGGTCAGATCACCCGTGGCCAGTTCCATCGCCAAAATCAAATATGTATGCGACTCTGTCGTACACTGTTGTGCGTCGTAGTAATGTAAGACGTAATCGGGGATCCGGTTGGTGAGTTCGTAGTGGATATCCACCTCCGATATGGCCTTGTTCATATTCGGCTCAAATTTTACAGCAACGGGAAAGCCGGAAACCTCCGTCTTGTAGACTACGGCCGACAAACTAGGTGATCCAATCCGGGCTCTTAGTGAAAGGTAGAGTGTACAGTTGAGCGCTGCGCGCAGTTTTTCCAGCTCGGTGTCATTAAGACTGTGAAACCGCGACTGCAGTTTGCGTTCCCACGGGATGTTTAAAAGTGATGTCTTCATCTCTAAACTTGTGATTTGTAAAGTTACGATAACACTACTACTTATACTCGATTTACAAATCCAAATTAGATTTGCAAATGGACGACCGATCGATCCTTCGTGTCTGTCCGATGGACCTTTAGGGTGTGTATTCAATAAAAATAAAAATAAATCACGGCCCCTCGCAACGTCGCGACGCCATTGCACGCCCCCTGGTACGCGCCCCCGTAGATCAGGTTGGTGCCCTTGAGCTCGCAGTTCGTGGTTTTGAGTACAAGGTACAACGTTCAAAGTTCAAAGTTCAAAGTTCAAAGTTCAAAGTTCAAAGTGCAAAGGTCAAAGTGCAAAGGTAAAGATGGATGGGGTGTACTACACCGATAGTGGCAACGAATTGCTTGCATGTCTGGGAGGACCGAGCACGCCGAGTTTATACAACCAACTTTTCAGCAAACACGGCTCGCACGAAAGGACTGTGAAGGAACTCGTTGAGATGTTGGGAAGCCCGTGGCAAATTCCACAATGTTGGGACGATCCTTTCAAAGTTTACATGTCACAGTATCATCGTGAAATCAACGGCATACTTCGAAAATGTCCGTTGCCCAATTACTCTCCCAAATCAAACTATTTCTTTCCGTTCTTGAACCGCCAATGCGCCAGTTTTCTCCCGTGCGTGTACAAACTAGACAAGCTGATCTACAAAACATACGCGAGTGAAGGACACGTTCTCGACGAACAGTACATGTATAGAGGAACACCGCACAATGTACTGGACAAGCAAAACGTTCTGCGTGACAGCAGCGCTCTCGATCTGTTAGAGGGTCCCGTGCCCGGTATACATCTCGATGAACCGGCCTTTTTGTCCTGTACGCCCGATATTGCACACGCGGCCCGTTTTGTTCACGGGTCGCCCTGCTGCATACTGCGGTTCCAAATACCGTCAAATGTGCGCTACCACTACGATAAGCATACAAAGAATACCAGGGGAGACGAGTGTATTATTCAACGGAACACTACTCTCAAAAATTTCAAGTTCAACCCGAAGAAATGGTATGCCAGAGACGGTGGTAGCACGCGTATTGCGATCGTGGACTGTGAGTTGTACTCGAACGCAGAAGCACCGCCCAAATTTTTTAGGTACTTGTGAAGTTCGCGTGGGAGACACGAATGTTAAAGTGCAAGGTTCAAAGTGCAAAGGTCAAAGTTCATTTAGTCAAAACATTTATTCAAATCATTCAAATCACATCCGGAAGCAGCAGTGCAATCTCCCGTTCGCTGTACGCCTCGTACTTTCGAAACTGGTACGACTCAAGCGACCCCATCACCATGTCCACCACACACCGCCGCTCGCCCTTGCACACCCCAGACCCAACAGTCCGAACCGTCTTGCATTCTGGGCGCACATTGGCAGAGAACCGCTCCAGCAGATCTCTATGGTTCGTCCAATGAAGCTTGGCGTACATCGGTGGCATCTGCCCCGACTTTAGTGGCACCACCGCCTGCGTCGCCAGCAGCTCCCGCAGGTTCGCGACCAGCGGCTCCCCAGTCGGCGACATGCGCCACCCCAAGAATTGTCGGTACATGTCTGTGCGGCGCTTCGTGGCTTCAATCTCGTGCAGGATCTTTTCATAAAACACAAGGATGTGACCAGGCGGGATCTCCACCTTGGTCCGGTCCCGCCGCATCTGCGCCTTTAGCTCTGCGCTCAGCTTGACGGTTGCAAACCCCTTGTTGCCAGACACCACCTTGTGCGACCCGGCGATGCACGAAAAGTACTGAGCCGTCGAGTCCAGGTTCCACCAGCCCCCAAACACGAGATCGTCCGCCCCGGCCAGCTTGGCCTCGTCCCGGTGCCACGCCTCCGCCGAGGCCGATTCGCCCTTCTGTCGCACCATCATGCGGTCGACCACCTGCTCAAAGTACATTGGCCCGCCTCGTGTTCCAGCCAGGGGCGCCAGGAGGGGTCTGATGATCGCGTGCGCCCACACCCTAAGTAGGCGCACAGTGGGGTTGTGGAACGATGCCGGGTTCCCGAGCGCCCCAAAGCCACCCAGTACATACTTGCTGGCGTCCGCGTTGAACTCGGGGAAGTTGGCAATCTCCGCGTCAAAGTATGCCCTCGCCTGCGCCACGTCCAGGTCCGTCGGCACCACGGCGTACCCGTGCTTTTCGAGGTGCTCAAGCACTGTCAAATGGTCACCACCATTTCCAGGCCGTGGCTGCGGTGGTAGCGGACGGGGCTCGGGGGCCCTGGCAACAACGGCAACCTCCTCGGGTGGTCTTGGGCCGGCTTTGGAATCAACGTACGCTTGCAACATCGCATAGGCAACCACAGAGTCGTCAATGTTGACCCAGATCACACACCCCTGCTTGTGCTGGTACGGGAGCGCTCGCTGTAGCCGCACGGGCGACTCCAGGACCCACGCATACGGCGTCTTGTACCCACTGTGCAGGGCCGGCGACCCGTGGCGGTCCGAGTGGCTTGCAAACACCTCGTTGTCCAGCTTGATACAGTCTACCAACTTGGCAAACCCGACCACCTTTTGTCGCCCAGACTCTACTAGGCCCACAAAGCCACGGTGTGTCGCTGGCGAACCGCGGATCTCCCAGGTCTTGTTGCCGCCAAGGATCAGGTCCAGGGGTGTCTTCTTGATTATGATTCCCTTCATTCTTCCGTGTGTCTTGAATATCTTGAATCTCTAAACTTGTGACTTGTAAAGTTACGATAACACTACTACTTATACTCGATTTACAAATCCAATTTGGATTTGCAAATGGACGACCAATCGATCAATCGTGTCCTATGGACCTTTAGGGTGTAGGGTTTGCTTGAAGGGCCCGCAGCCTGCTCAAGTTCAAAGCACATCGCACCATAGGGCCTCCCCACTAGGCTTCGTCGCCCCCGCAAGACTCCCGTCAAGGGGGTCCAAGACCATGCGCCCCCACCCCCGCCCTGGTACGCATCCCCGTAAGACCCTTGTACAAAAAAAAAACTTTTTCGGAAACACTTGCTGCAAACAATGTACACTTGTCACATTCTAGAAATTCATAAGGGTTCAAGATATTGGATGACAATAAACCACACACATACAACAACAAATAAAAATATAAAAACAAAATGGGTTGGTCTATAGGGACAACAAATGTCCGCTTAGGTCGATACGCCGGTAACACCAATCAGGCGACGTCGGCAGTCGCCGTTGGAAACAGGGCCGGTAACATAGACCAGTCCAGTGAGGCCATGGCTTTGGGAGCTAATGCCGGTCGCAAATTACAGGGGGTAAAAGCCATAGCCATAGGTAGCAGCTCCGGTGAGACAGACCAGGGTGAAAGTGCCATTGCGGTAGGTTCGGATGCCGGGCATGTCAACCAGGGTGTAGACGCTGTCGCTGTCGGTAGCTCTGCCGGTGAAACTAACCAGGGGTCCAATGCCGTGGCAATTGGAAAGCATGCGGGTAAGTACGCGCAGGCCGACAACAGCATCATTCTGAATGCAACGGGTGTTGCGCTAAGCTCGAGCACCGCGGGGTTGTTTATAGAACCTATCCGAAACGTAGACTTGACGGACAATATATTGTACTACGACCCTACATCGAAAGAAATTGTGTACGGGGCGGCCCCGGCACAGGCCCCGGCGGACACGGGTGCCACGGTTGATGCGGGGATCAATATCAACGATTTTCTGGTGTGGAACGGAACAAAGTGGGTCCCCAAAATCAGCGTGGGTGGCAGTGTGAATATCGCAACTGGTGCGGGTGAGACGAACCAGGGTAGTGGCGCGGTGGCTGTGGGCAACGACGCCGGAAACTCCGACCAGGGTAAAGATGCTGTTGCGGTGGGTAACGAGGCCGGGCGCGACAAGCAGGGTGCGAATTCGATTTCGGTAGGGAACAAGGCCGGGGCCACCGGCCAGGGTGCGAACGCGGTGGCCGTTGGCAACGAGGCTGGAAGCAGCAGCCAGGGCGATGGCGCCGTGGCGATGGGGAATAATGCCGGAAAGACAGACCAGGGCACGAGCGCCGTGGCCGTGGGCGTCAAAGCCGGGATGACCACCCAGGGGGACAATGCAATTGCCGTCGGGAACGATGCCGGGAAGATGGACCAGGGGGCAAGTGCAGTGGCCGTTGGCGATATGGCCGGTGAAACAACACAGGCCGCGGGCGCAATCGCAATAGGTGCGGAGGCGGGAAACACCAATCAGGGTGCCTGTGCGGTGGCCATTGGAAATAAGGCCGGTGAAGTGGACCAGGCGGACAACAGCATAGTTCTGAATGCGAGTTGCAGTACACTGAATGCGGGCACAACGGGGCTGTTTGTGGACCCGATTCGCAACGTCGACATGACGGATAATGTCTTGTACTACGATGAGACGCTAAAGGAGATTGTATACGGGGCCTCGATCACGGTGCCCACAGTGGGTACCGGCACGGAAGTGTCCCAGTACTTGCGCTGGGATGGGACAAGCTGGGTTGCTTACGGTGATCGGGTCGCCATTGGCAACCTGGCCGGAGAGACCTCGCAGAGTGTGAATGGGGTTGCGATAGGCACGAATGCTGGCAACGCGAATCAGAGTACTGATGCGATTGCAATTGGGCTCAGCGCCGGTATGACGGATCAGGGGGAGTCAGCGGTTGCCATAGGAACAGAGGCCGGGATGGAGTCGCAAAGTGGAGGTATTGCTATCGGGACCAGGGCCGGCAGGACCAGTCAAGGTGCGATGTCCGTTGCGGTAGGTGAAGATGCAATGTATGAAAACGGTGGTCAACTATCGGTGGCTGTTGGAAAGTCGGCGTGTTATTCTGGAGACGGTGGCAGTTGTGTGGCTGTAGGGTATGGGGCGCTTGAGTCTAACGCGGGAGCCACCGAGTACGCGGTGGCACTCGGTGCCCTGGCGTGCAATACCGTGTCTTCCAGCAATACAATTACGCTGAACGCAACGTCACTGGACCTCCCAAATGCGGTACCCAATTCGTTCGTCGTCAAACCCATCAGGAACGCGGCGGGTCCAAACGCGCTAACGTACAACCCCGCAACGGGCGAGATTACGTATACGACATCAAGCCTGGACACCAAGGAGAACATTAAGGTATTCGATAGGGAAATTGGTGATGTGCTCGAGCAGTTGGTGGTCAAGGAATTCAACTTTATAAACAAGAACAAGTATACACAATTCGATGCAGTTGACGAAGATATCATGTCGTTTGACACGTGGGTGGAAACCAGCCCCAAAGCCAGGGGCAGTTACGATGAACAGGTGGTGGAAGAGTACGAACTGTACCGAAAGAAGGTCAAGGTAGGTGAGTGTCATGTTATAGACAAGGAGGAGACGCACTTTGGGTTTATAGCCGGCGAAGTCCAGGAAATTATGCCGGAGCTCGTGTACGACGACATTGACGGCGTGGCGCTGGATATCAAGTGGAACAATCTCACGGCCATGCTGGTAAAACAGAACCAAATGTTAACGGCGCAGCTTGCGGTTCTTGAGGATCGGTGCTTGGACCTTGAAAACAGCAGCGTGTTGGCTACAGGGCACATAGGCGATGAGCTAGAAAAGAAAGAAGAAAAAAAAATAGTCTTTTAGGTAGTACGCCAAGTTAAGAATCAGACATTGTATACTTGTCACATTCCGAAATTCCATCGGTGGTGGAATAGAATCACCTAAAGTAAAACACTTACATTACCATAATGTTGTCGACTGGGGGGACAACCAATGTCCGTCTTGGTCGAAGCGCCGGTAACACCAATCAGTCGAGGTCGGGAGTTGCTGTTGGGAACAACACGGGCAGCCTGAATCAGTCTAGTGGGGCCACGGCTATTGGACAGAGTGCTGGTCACAACTCACAGGGTGCAGATGCCTTAGCCGTAGGTAGCAACTCCGGCGAGACAGACCAGAGTAAAGGTGCCATTGCGGTGGGTTCGGATGCCGGGCGCGTCAACCAGGGTGTGGACGCTGTGGCTGTCGGTAGCTCTGCCGGTGAAGCTAACCAGGGGCCTAGTGCCGTGGCTATTGGAAAGCTCGCGGGTAACTACTCGCAGGCCGCAAAAAGCATTATTATCAACGCGAGTGGCAATGTATTGAACTCCAGCACAAACGGGCTGTTTGTGGACCCGATCCGCAATGTCGACATGACGGACAACGTGTTGTACTACAACCCCATATTGAAAGAGATTGTATACGGGGCAGCTACGATGCAGTCACCCACGTACAGTGGTGACACGTTCGTAGAAGAAGGGGTGCACCTGAACGACTTTTTATCGTGGGACGGGACCAGGTGGGTGCCGAATCGGAACTCGACGGGCCGCGTAGGCATTTCGAGCGGTGCCGGTGAAACGAACCAGGGTCCGGGTGCAGTGGCCGTGGGCAACGATGCCGGAAATGCCGACCAAGGCAAGGAAACTCTAGCAGTTGGTAACAACACGGGCTCCGACGACCAGGGTGCAAACTCGGTTGCAGTAGGAAATGGCGCTGCTAGTACTAGCCAGGGGGGTGCGGCGGTGGCGATTGGACACGAGTCTGGGATGGCAAACCAGGGCGATGTGGCAGTGGCGGTGGGGACTGGGGCCGGGAAGAGTGGTCAATCGGCGAGCGCCGTGGCGATTGGAAACGAGTCTGGGATGGCAAACCAGGGCGATGTGGCAGTGGCGGTGGGGACTGGGGCCGGGAAGAGTGGTCAATCGGCGAGCGCCGTGGCTATCGGAGAAATGGCCGGTCAGACAAACCAGGGCGCGAAGGTCGTCGCGATAGGCACTGACGCTGGAAAAACCAACCAGGGTAGTTGCGCCGTGGCGATTGGGAAAAAGGCCGGGGAACTGGACCAGGCGGACAACAGTATTATCCTGAATGCCACAGGTGTGGCAGTTAACGCGAGCACCAGCGGATTTTTTGTGGATCCGATCCGCAACGAGAACCGCACGGACAAAGTGCTATATTACAATACAACACTGAAGGAAATTGTGTACGGAATACCCGTTGCTGCTGCGGAACCCAGTGAGCCGGTTCCGGACGGGGTGACCGTTTCCGGTTTCCTCGGGTGGGACGGAACGGGTTGGGTGACTGGAACAGTTGGCATTGCGATTGGATCACTATCTGGTGTGGGTCAGGATACAGATGCTATTGCTATAGGTTTCGGAACGGGCAGCGCTCAGAAATTCAATGCGATTGCAATCGGGAATGGTACGGCTAGTACCGGCCAGCGACCCGTTGCGATCGCTATAGGGAGCGGATCAGGTCTCTTATACCAGATGCCGTCTGCAATAGGTATCGGGAGGGACTCGTCGAAATATTTATCTGGTTCCGGATCGGTGGCAATAGGTACATCGGCAATGCAGGGGGGCAGTAGTGAATTAACTGGTGGTTTCGCCAGTATAGCATTGGGGTTTGCCGCATGTAGCGATGGGGTTCAAGAATACTGTACATCATTGGGGGCTCATTCCATGTCGTCAAACGCAACAGACCGAACGGATGTACTGGCAATCGGAGTATATGCTTGTAATTCTGTATCGTCAAACAATACGATCGTACTCAACGGGACTGGTGCGGGGTTGGGAAACGCGGTACCCGATTCGTTTGTGGTCAAACCGATCCGGAATGCGGCCGGCCCCAATGAGCTGACATATAATCCTGTGACGGGGGAGATTACGTATGCGACGTCAAGTCTGGAGACTAAGGAAAACATTAAAGTATTCGATAGGGAAACTGGGGATATACTCGAGCAGTTGGTGGTCAAGGAATTCAACTTTAAAAATAAGAACAAGTATATCCACTATGACCCGGTGGACCCCGCCACCATTCTAACGGTTGCCGAGTGGGACGAAATCGGGGACGAAGTTATCGACAAGGGTGAGACGCAGTTTGGATTTGTTGCGGATGAGGTACAGGAAATCATACCAGAACTCGTATACGCCGATCCAAGCGGCGCGGCACAGAACATTAAGTGGAACAGTGTGACGGCGATGCTGGTAAAACAGAACCAGGCGCTCACATCCAGAATTGCAGCTCTCAGTGCCCGATTCACGACCCTCTCAAATTTAGGGTTTGGCAGTTAGAGTCCCTCGCCTGCTTCGCGGGATTACAAGGTTCAAAGTTCAAAGTTCAAAGTACAAGGTTCAAGGTTCAAAGTTCAAGGTTCAAGGTTCAAAGTTCAAAGTTCAAAGTACAAGGTTCAAGGTTCAAAGTTCAAGGTTCAAGGTTCAAAGTTCAAAGTTCAAAATGCAAAGTTCAAAATGCAAAGGTCAAAGTGCAAAGGTCAAAGTGCAAAGTTCAATAAGTGCTTGGGATTGTCCGAGGTGTCTCGCGGGCGTTTTATGAAAACCTCTTATTAAATCACCCTTTATTCAATTTTGCCCTGTCAATAAAAATTAAAAAAATCACGGCCCCTCGCAGTAAACTTGTGACTTGTAAAGTTACGATAACACTACTACTTATACTCGATTTACAAATCCAAATTGGATTTGCAAATGGACGACCAATCGATCAATCGTGTCCTATGGACCTTTAGGGTATGTGGGGTGTTCATTAGACAGCGTCGTCTCGTCAAAGTCCCAGAGAAAACCCCCATCTCGTTACTATATAAGTTGACTTTTTTTATATATATACCTCATATTTACACATCAAGCTTCAACTACAACATTGGATACAATGCTCACCCTCCCCCGTATCTCCATCGACGTATGGTGTGGTATCCTTCCGTATCTGGAAATGAAGGATGTTTGTGAGCTGACCAGGGTCAACAAGCACCTCGCAGCACTCAAACTTCCGGTTTTACATCTGGGGTACCGGACAGTGAACTGGCGTGCTGTATCTCGCACACCAGAGGTGTTTCCCTTTATACGATCGTTGAGATATTCCGGCAACGATTTCAAGGTGTTGGCCGAGTGTGCTGGGCTAGTTAAGCTGCGGGCTGAAACACGCACGGGTTTCGTAGATGTTGGTGAGCTGGCCGGAACGAAGCTAAAGAGCCTTACTTTATGTGGAAACGTCTCTGGTATTGGCGGGTTGGCACACTTGACGGAGATAGACTTGGGCGGGACTATGGTCGTCGATGTTGGTGCGCTTGGAGAGTGTTTGAACCTAACGACTGTGGACTTGCGCGAGACTGATGTCAAAAACATTAGTGCCCTCAAAACCTGTTTGAAATTGACACGTGTGGACGTTTGCGATACTGCCGTGGAAGACATTGGTGCACTCAGTGGCTGTCTGGAACTAAGGGAGGCCTACTTTAGCAACACTAGGGTCAGCAACATTCGTGCACTCGAGAATTGTTTGGAGCTGACGGATGTTTACTTTCGTGGCACTAAGGTTTCCGATATTAGCCCGCTAGGGAACTGTTCCAAATTAACAAGAGTGGATTTGGGCGAGACTATCGTTGAAGACCTTAGTGCTCTTGGAAGGTGTCGGGAGCTGACGGTTCTTTTCTTTAATAGCACCAACGTTTGTGATATCAGCCCGCTGGGGAAATGTTTGGAATTGTATATAGTCGGGTTGTGTGGTACTAGAGTTCAAGACATTAGCGCGCTAAGGACCTGTTCTAAAATGTTTAGAGTGAACTTACTCGAGACTAGCGTTGAAGACACTAGTGTACTGAAGAAGTGCTTGGGAATGACAGAGGTGTCTCGCGGGCGTTTTATGAAAATCTCTTATTAAATCACCCTATATTCAATTTTGCTTTGTCAATAAAAATTAAATAAATCACGGCCCCTAAGTACAAAGTACAAAGTACAAGGTCAAAGTGCAAAGTTAAAAAGTTTATTGTGCGCACACTGGTGACCCAAACAGGTCCAACAGGTCCTTGGACATAGTCAGCCCACAGTGGTGTCTCACGACGTCAACCAGCGGCACGGTATCCACACCCACCCCCAGTCGCCCCCGGGGCAGGTCTCCGAGATAGCACCGGGGCCCAGCTGCACAAGCTGGCTGTAGAGTACGGGCGAGCTCAGGGCCACAGCGCTGTCTGGGCTACACTCGCCGGTGGAACAGTGCACGGTGATTTGCATATTGAACAATGTATATGTTACAATGTGTGGAACTGAATACATGTATAAAAATGGTATATATATATATATATATATATATATATGATATTTTTTCACGGCCCCTCGCAGTTTGTGTATTTCACCTGCGTAGCGGGATCGCATAGCTTGTGGATGCCGCCGCCGAGCTTGCAGTTTGTAAACTCGAACGTCGCGACGCCGTTGCATGGCCCCTGGTACGCGCCCCCGTAGATCAGGTTGGTGCCCTTGAGCTCGCAGTTCGTGGCTTTGTACGTCTGCGGCTCCACACCCACCCTAAACGTCTGGTAGTTGTCAAACATCCGAGTGTCAACTAGGTTTATCGTGCCCCCGAACGAGTTGCCTGCCTGTATGCTTTTGTCGTTGGCCTTGGTCATCGAACACCCGATCAGGTTCAGCGTGCCGTCCTTGGCGTTCTCGCGGAAGGAGCACGCGTCCTCACCGATATCCAGCCACGTCACATTCTCAAGCGTCCATACGTCGTCCTTGGAGGCCGTGTCGCTGACAAACCAGATCCCGTCCAGCCCGTTGCTCGACAGGATCACGTTTTTTATCGTGCCCCCGGGGTACAGCTTAAAGTACGGCTTCTGGTCCTCCGTCTGGCTGCCGTCGCCCATCGAGCTCGCCGGTACTATGGTCTGGCATTTCCCGTCGTACGTCTGCCCGCTTTCCACGACTATCGTGTCGCTAATGTTGACGGTGCCGCTGCTGGTGCACAGTTTGACGGACGGGCTGACGCCAATGTGCTGTGTGCTGCCACTGCCGCCGCCCCCCGTGTCACTGCTGTCGGCCCCTGTGCCACTATCGTCGCCGCTGCTGCCGCTCCCCGTGTCACCACCACTCCCCGCGCCGCCCACCACGCTTGCGCTGACCGCCGTGCCACCCACCACGCTCGCATTGGCTGCAGGGGCAACCGCGCCGCCAGCTGCAGTATCACCATCGTCGGCCGGCTTTCGATTGTAGAGAATTACACCTACAACAATGCCCCCCGCGACCAGGATAAAGATGGTGAGCACGACAATAACAATAACCATTTATATATTTTTATATATAAATAAATAAACAAAATCCCTAGTCTCCCTTGTACATTGCAACTGGCATCTCGTACGTTCTAGCAATCGATTTATCAATGTCGTTTGCTCATGTCATATCGGGCAGCAGATCATAAAATTTGATTGTTCGCGGTAGTCCCACCGGCAATTCCGGTACAACGTCGCTCAGGTAGGTCACAACTACCTTCCCCAGCGCAGCAAGGTTCGTCACACTCTCAGGGTGAAATGTTTCCAGCACCTCTATGCCCTCGGGCAGCGTAATTGGAACGTTTCCATCGTTCCACAGATACAGCACCCTGAGCGCCTTGAAGCGCGGCAGCAGATGGAGAGAGTCTACACTTGGCGCCTGTCGCAGATTCAACACCGCGATAGTGTCTTTCGCTGGTAGTAGCCACGCTAAGTCTATCTGGTCCGAAAACTCCACCACCAAGGGTTTCTTCTTGATGCCTCTCATCAACGCTCTCTTATGTGTATTTGACCCCATAATGAACCTGCTCGACTTTTGGTACTTGCACTTGCGACCCACGCACGTGCTCACGGCGTACACGGTCATTGTCGACCCCGCATTGCAATGATTGGCGCCCACCATATTGTACTGAGCCGTATCAGAAAACGTTTTCGGCAGCACCCGCTCCTGCTTCAGGTGAAAGATGCGTCTGCCCTCGGAATAAAACATTCGCTTCATTTCATGGAAATCAGTCAAGTGGATGAGACCCACCCCGCCACCAATGTAGATCTTGACGAGGTCCATGTCCCGCGTGTCTGGTGTACATCCGTGGTACAGTTCTCTCCCCTGATGTACAAAGAACTCCTTGGCGGGAAAACAAAAGACATGGCCTGTTGCCGCAACAATGACTAACTTGCTAGGATCGTTTACATCTTCGTCATCCTCCAAGGTGGCAAAGTCCTGGCACGTGGCAAGCACGGTTTCATCGAATGCCTTGCGTTTCATTTTCGTTTTTGGTGTTTCAAGAAAAAGGGGTTTAAAACAGCCGTTTTGGCCTGATTTGTCTGTTTGTCCAGACTCAGTTGACATGTGTTTCGAGGATGGACCAGTCTACAAAAATCAAAGCTAACAGTCGCACGCCACGTCACCAGCCACGGTCCCGCCAGCTGAGCTTGCGGGACTGACACCGCCGCCAGCTGAGCTTGCGGGACTGACACCGCCACCAGCTGAGCTTGCTGGAACTACGGAGCCCACAGGCCCACCCACGGACCCACCAGGCGAGCTTGCTGGAACTACCGCACCGCCAGCTGGGCTTGCGGGACTCGCATCGTCTTCGGGCTTTCGGGTGTAGACAATCACGCCGACGACGATGCCTACGGCGACCAGGGCAAAGAGTATGAGAACAACAATGACAATAATCATTTTAGTGCAAGATATATATAAATATTAACATTGGTACAATGATCCAGCACCGATCCATGGGGGTGCACATGCACATAGGCGCCTTTGTCATCTATTATTATTCACATTCACATTCCTCCTCACCACCAACTGCTGTACCACCACTAGCAGTACCACCAACGACTGTGCCACCAGCGGTACTTTGAACTGCTGGAACGTCGTCGGACTTTCCAGTATAGACAATCACAACAATAACCACTGCAACAACAGCGATCAGGAGCACTATCCCCAGTATGATGAATACGATTGTTGAGGTCTCCATGTTTATTTTAATTGTTTATTTATTCATGTACATACTTTTCCGTCTAAAACGCTGTCCCGGCAAGGTACGACTCGGGCCCAAAGTCGGGGACAGTGACCGCCGGCTCGCCGTGCGCCGTGTTGCTGGCCTCCGAGTACTGCCGCGCCCGGTATCGCAGCACGTCTCGGCTCTTGTCCAGCTGCTCTATGCGCTCTACGCGCCACACGTAGCCCGGCGTGGGCTCGTGCAGCTTGGCCACGGCCTCCGGCGTCAGCTTGCAGAAGTACATGGCTTTCTGCTCCGCGGTCCGCAGCGTCTTGGGGACCGGTCGGAAGCGCGGCGCGCGCACCTTGCCACCCCCAGCGGCCTTCTTGGCCAACGGGGCTGCGGTCGGCAGCGCGGCGTCGTACAGGCTAAACTGCAGAGCCGCCGCCGTGGCAATGCTGGGCCACACCGCATCGCCGTACAGGTGGAGCAGAGAGTGCATGTGGACCTTGAACCGCTGGCTGGCGTCGCTCGTCTTGGACACCACCATGTAGTTTGTAGGGTTGGGGCCCGCATCAACGCGGACCTCGGTGCCCCACATGACAACCGTCTTGCCAATCAGGGACGACGCCGGCATGCGGGAGACGTCCGTGCCCAGGCTGCACGGCGTGCTCATGACCGTTTCCTGCTCGTGCGCGCCGGTCAGAGTGGCCAGACCGTCGTAGTCCACGGGGTCGCAGGTGTGGCTGCCACTAGTGAGCGGCGTGAGCTCCATCGTGCAACGCCCACAGACATGGGACGCGGCCTTTAGCAGCCTCTTGGCCATGGGGGAGTTGAATATCGGCGCCTCGCCTTCAGGGCACTTTGTGCAACACAGCACCTTTGTCGCGCAGCTGCGGCAGATGTTGGTGAGACAGCAGTTCGAGTACCCGATGTCCGCGGTAACGGCGGCGCACGTGTCGCAGGTAAAGAGTGCCCGGAAGGCATCGACAGAGATGGAAACCTCGGGTGAAATGAGCGCCTCGTCCAGGTCAAACGGCTGTGCATTTGGTAGCTCTTCTACATGAGAATTTGCTAGAGTAGCCACAGGAGAGGTTTGGGGGGCAGCGGAGGGTACTGGAGAAGCCATTGTCTTGTTTGTGTTGTCGTTGTCGATGTTGTTGTTGTTGTTGCGTTGTGTGACTAGGACATGGCGAGGCGTGGCGCTTTATAGGCGTTTTGCCCACGGCCATACCCTGGAATATGGACCCTCCACCAATCAGCACTGCTCAGTCAGACCACACCCCAATGGCGATGGCGATGGCCGCCATCATCACAAACGCCACGACCACCACCACCAGGGTCGCGGTCTCGATGTCGGGGTTAAGAACATCGGCCAGCAGGTGGTCTGCAAGCATGAGCTTGCCCTCCAGCTGATTGTTTGCGAGCACATCGTGCATCTCCGTGTACCAGTCGCAGTACGGGGTCAGGCTCGCGGACTCGACGGCTATGTGTACAAATTCGATAAAGCGTGCCAGGTTCACAAACACGTCGCCGTCGTGCACCAGCAGCTTGCCGGCACCAAGGTCGGCGGAGGCGGAGGCGCACCCCGCCACGATGGGGGGTTCAATCTCAAAGTCGGACACGCGAAAGTACGTGCCGTCCATCGTGCTGTCGCCAATAGTATGGATGTAGATTGTCACATCCTCAGCAGTCACAAACGGCACTAGCCCCAGCTCCTCCATTTTTGCTTTGCTCAAATTTCAAATTTCAAAACCCACGCTTCAAAACCCTGACCCAAAAACTAGATTTCAAAATTCAATTTTCAAAAACCTGGCTCAAAAAACTAGAGATTAAAAATCAAATTTCAAAATTCATTTTTCAAAAACCTGGCTCAAAAAACTAGAGATTAAAAATCAAATTTCAAAATTCATTTTTCAAAAACCTGGCTCAAAAAACTAGAGATTAAAAATCAAATTTCAAAATTCAATTTTTCAAAAACCTGGCCCAAAAACCCGGCTCAAAAAACTAGAGATTAAAAATCAAATTTTAAAATTCAAATTCCAGAAATATGGCCCAGCAAAAAATCAATTTTTAAAATTTAATTTTCAAAATCCACTAAAAAACCCTGGCCTAAAACTCATGCTCGTTTGACCCTCTTGCGTGCCGGTGTCGTCATGGCGAGCTCAATGAGCTGCGCCTGTGACGCGGCGAGCTGTGCCTGTAACGCGGCGAGCTGTGTCTGCAACGCGGCGAGCTGTGCCTGTGACGCAGCGAGAGCCTCCTCGGTGGCCTTACGAGCCTCCTCGGCGGCCTTACGAGCCTCCTCGGCGGCCTTGAGGGCCGCCCGGAGTCCTTCCATCTCGCGCGCGGTCGCCTCGGCGAGCTGACGGGCGCGCCTTGCATCGAAGGCCCTCGCCTCATCGTGGGCCTTGCTGGCGGCGGCGGCTTCGCGCTTCACGCGTTCGAGCTCGGCAGCGAGTTCCGAGAGGCGGCAAGCACCAACCGAGTGTGTGGTAATGTTGTTCATGACCCGCTGGATGTACGTGGTCTTTCGTCCACACTCGGAGGACACGAGACACATTATCAATCCCGCTGTATCGAGGTAGACGGCCCAGGCATCGGCGATTTTGATTTTCACCCTGTGTTCGTGCGGGATCGAATCGTAGACGCTCTCTGGACTTTCCACACCCACCAGGTCTGCGATATCCCTGGCGCTGAAGAACGTCCCCGTCACTGACCGATCGCCCACAACGTGGATGGACGAGAGCCCCATGTCGCTGTTCGCTGTGTCAATATGTTCTGGGCACGTATCGATCATGCGCCAGTCGCTTGTGGCATCGGTGGTAGTGGGGGCTGTCATTGTGCAATGTTTGTTTGTAAAATAATACTTGCAATTCCGAAAGACGATTTCGTTTTTTTTTTTCATCGTAGGGGGTGTTTTCAAACACGGGTATTGCAAAACAGTAAGTTGGGCCAATGCGCATGTCGCCGAGACGCTCATAGTACACTGGCCCTTTACTTTGCGCTTGAGAAGGCCGTGTGGAGCTGAGCGAGACGGGATTTGTGTGACACGGAATAAAAAAAAAAGTCTATGTACAAGTTTTATTTACAATATCTCCTATACAATATTCTATATACAATGTTCCTATATACAATGTTCTATATACAATTTTCGTATGTATGTACACGTCTGATCATTTGCGATCAAATATCACTCTTTTCGCCTTGGGTTTGTTCAAGCAGCGGTTGCAGAATATCTCGCCCTCTTTGGCCACCTTGGCTGTGCACATATGCTCCCTGACCGTCCCAAGCTGTGAGGCGCATATGCAGTGCTTCGAATTCTTCATCGTGTGCAGGATCTCCGTGTGGCGAGCCTCGCGCTCAACGGCCGTCTTGTGCTCACCGGACGCCCAGGTCCACTCGGCGATGTCGTCGTCCAGGACAATCTTCTCAGTTTTCTCGTTCTTCGGGTCGTAATCCTCGCCTGTTGACGCCAAGGCCCCTCGGAACTTGTTGTTCTTGCTAAAGTTGCACAGGGTAAGGCGCAACCGGTCTGACGGGTTCTCCTCGAGGACCCGGTTCGTGTCCCGCACCACCTGGGCAAAGCCGCGGAGCTGCTCAAGATCCCACCCGGACTCGCCGCTAAAGCGCGTGCACCCCACCGTCAGGTGCCGACCAGTCCCGTTGTACTCCCCATCCATCATGCCATCCAGGAGGTTGAGGCGAGAAATTTCCTTAACGATATCATAATTGCTGTGACCTTTGGCGTCGTCAATCTCAATGAAGTTGATGCAGTTCAGGCCCCGGAGCCCCCAGTCGCCCCGGGCACCACCGTTGACTTTGCCGCAGGCGTTCTTGGACGGGTCACAGGCCTTGATGATAACCTCGCGGGTCATAAAAATAGAACGAGTGTCCATGCCGAGGATCAGCGCGACGGTGTTGATGGCCAATGACTCGAGTGACGCGTTGCCGAGGCCATACTCGGTGATACACGCGCTACAGACAGTCGCATTGGGAGTGCAGACCTTCGCGTTGTCCACGGAGCAGGCGAGACTGAGTTCCTTGAGCTTGGGGCTGTCGTCCGGGATGCAGTCGAAGCAGGCGCCGGCGGCCCTCGAGTAGCAGGGCGACGTGCAGGCGCACACGCCGTGTTTGTAGTGGGCCTGGCAGATACGCGCCCCGTCCGACCCACACGTCCCGAGCCGGTGGCAATTGGCGACAGTGCATCCATAGAGGTCGAGCCTGGTCCCGGCGCAGTCGGCACACGCGTCGATGCCAGCCAAGGACCCGGGGCTGTCGCAGTGGACACACGGCGAGTGTATTTGCTTGTGCGTGTTGAGATGACCCAACTGCGCGAACGCTCGATTGCAACCGGTGTAATCGCAGACATACGGCTTATCGCCGGTGTGAGTCCGCATATGGCTTTTGAGATGGTGAGATCGTGAGAACTTTTTACTACAGCCAGTAAACTTACACACGTAAGGCTGTTCGCCGGTGTGTGTACGCATATGGCTTTTGAGATGCTGAGGTTGTGAGAACTTTTTACCACAGCCGCTAAAATTACATGCAAACGGTTGTTCGCCGGTATGTGTACGCATATGGGCTTTGAGATGGTGAGACAATGAGAACCTCTTACCACAGCCAGTAAACTTACACACGTAAGGCTGTTCGCCGGTGTGTGTACGCATATGGGTTTTGAGACTACTAGATTGTGTGAACTTTTTACCACAGCCAGTAAACTTACAGGCAAACGGCTGATCGCCGGTATGTGTACGCATATGGTCTTTGAGATGCTGAGATCGCGTGAACTTTTTATCGCAAACATCGCAAACGTGTGTGGCCTTCACGCGCTTACACCCAGAAGCCTGATCCGATGTTGACTGGGAGTCGCTTGACGTGGACGCATCGGACTCCCGGGCTCTCTTCACCTGAACGACAACAGGTGATTTACCCTTGGTCGTGTCGTCTGGGTACACTGGTGACTGCATGGTGGACGTTGATGTGTAATAAAACTAACTCGCTAGAAAGTGAACGACAAATGAAAAATCATGACATTATATTGTAATTTTGTAATTTTGTAATTTTGTAATTTTGTAATTTTGACCTGAGCTCTTTGTGAAAAAGCTGTCCGTGAGTAAACTCGACTGGCTCGATTTTTTTAGTACTGAAACTAGTACAAATACTCTGAAATGTTGGAAATTAAATTTTGTATTAAAATACACTGTAAGATTGGTACAAATACTCCGGAGGGATGTGAATTGTAGGTTTTATATTTAAACATGTCTAATCTCAACGATTCAGGCTCGACACATGGACCTCTTTAAGGACATGAAGAGTAATTTAGTCAATTCTCGACCAATCATCGACCACCGATTTGACGATTATCTATTGGCTGACAATCGTTGAAATTATAAAAAAAAATGAGGAATTTTTTTTTTTCGAGTAAGTCAGTTCAATAACGTCACAACTTTGCCAAGCATACCAGTTGCCTGGCTTCTTAT